CAATCCGAAGCAGCCGGCAACCGTCCAGCTCCGAGGCCACGGAACGCGACCGATACGAGCCAGACCGGTCCCGTCAGGATGGGACGGAGTCCACCTTGTCGACTAACGCACCTTCCACCGTCTGGGACGAGCTAGAGGATCTAAAATCGCGGATCAAGAAGCTAGAATTAACTGGAAAGCTTCCGCCCTCATCCCAGGAGGCGATCTCGTCTGCATCCGGAGACCGACCACGAACAGCGACCACGACGGTTACTACGGTGTCATCCTCGCCGAAGCGCGGCCGCAAATCAAGTATAGCAACAGGCGACCTCGACCAGAATGCGGCCCCGAGTCCAGTCCATCCCCTCTTACAATCGGCTTTGACCAAGTCAAAGGAAGTGTTGGGTAACGAAGTCTACGCAGCTCTGGAAGTCACTGTTACCGATGCGCTGGCGCTGTCTACCCTACTGTCATCCAGCAAGGCTCCATCGGGCGGTGTTTCTATTGTCAATGGTTATCTTCCGTCAGACAGACACGCTAGGCGCAAGGCTGACAGTGTATGCCGCAGCTTAACTGAGCTGTGTCTCGCACTGTCTGATGATCAGCTTCGCCGGCAGCCGTCTTCAGCCCTGGAGGGAAAAGCGGATGACCAGCAAACTAATGGCCACAATGACGACGACACGATTACACCAACCCCTCCATATCGCCGAAGCACCATCCAGGAACCAGAGAGCCTGTCCAGACGGCAGAGCAACAGCAGAGTCACCAGCCGTTTAGAGGCACGTCGGGCCAGTATGGCGAACAACGCGGCTCCGGACAACCAAAGCAACAACAAGGGCACCGATCTGAGTTCAGAGGCCAAATTGACACAGTCGCCTGGTTCGTCGGCGCCTGTGAGACGGTTGAGTCGACTCTCAACTTCGTTGCGGACCAAGAGGGTGCACACGGACGACGATAATGCCCCGGATCAGAGTCCACAAGCTCGATCAATTCAAAGAAGCATGACGGATATCACCAACCCAGCAGCAACATATCGAGTCTCGCCCCGGCAACGGATCTCGCATGGATATACGGCGTCACAATCCATACCCGACTCTAGCCCTGAGCGGAACGTTAGATATTCAACCCCATCCCAACCATCGCAGCTCCCTCAACCTCGTACCCCGACACTATCGCAGTCAGCAATCCCTCTCCGTCGGAGCATATTAACGCCCAGCTATGTCCCCGCAACATCCCGCTCAAACATTCAAGCGGGTTCGCGTCGATATGGGCTGTCTCCTGGTATTGGCTCTGCCGCTCTCGGTGGTGAGATGCCAGCCGAGGACGCTATGTCCACTACCCCTCGCCAGGAGCCTTCGCAGACAAGGATTATTGCCCCATCACAAAAACTGGCTGCTAGCTACACACCGATTGCGCAGAATCGCTTGCGCGCGAACAGCCTTGGAGCGCGACGATTTGGTCTTCGGCAGCGGCCGATGGCCGTTTCTGATGAGGCCGTCAATGGTCTCGATCAGCGCGTTGACTGAATGTTTACGTCTGCTACCTCCAAAAATCTCCACGTCCTTTACGCCCTCCACCTACCTTATAACGCAGCGACTCAATCTTGGTATTTGATTTTCAGTTCAGCCGGCGTTACTTTGTTTTCATTGTATTCCGCGGCCTACCAGGCACACATTATGTCGAGGTGTACGAAGCGCTTTCCGCTTGCATCATCACCTTTAACGAGGACCTCCGATTCAAGACCTGATTGACTGACTGACTATTGCAAAAAACAAACCAAAACACATGCATGCATTCTTGGACCCAATGCATTGTACGAGCTTATCATTCCGTTCAAGCGACCCTCACGGACCTTTGTGCTTTTATTCTTTCTTCTTTACCTATCCATACAAATTCTTGTTTGCTGTCAAAGTCGACCCCAAGGGAGGGTATGACTACGACACAGCACAAGCTCAATCAGTAATGGGATTCACGATATGTTTGTCTTGTCATCACCAACTTCCTTTCTCACTGTCATTGATACTCGTTATCTTTCTTATCATTTTATCTATTCATGTACAAATATTCGGCTCTGCGGTGATGACACGCGTTGATACTTTTCCTTTCTCTTCCGAATAATGAATGGAGTGTTGTTGGACCTGGTGCTTCGGTGGAATTATCTGTCTTGTCTTTTTCTCTTATACATACATACATACATACACATCCTTTCATTGTCTCTCATTACTACCTGTTCATTATTTTCCTTTTTGATCTCATAGAGGGGTATACTATGCCTATGATTGTTTCTTATTTTACTTTCCTTCTGTTCCTGTCAATACATGATGAATACGACCTCTTTTTGACCTTTTTCTTGCTTCTCCATTTATCCGTAGCCTATCACAAATACACGTACTATGACATAGGTAAATTATCAATAAGTACACCAGACGATGATAAGTATATTTAACGACTGTCACTCTGAACAAAAATTCAAATATAACCTGCATTCCACCTGAGCCAACTCATCCCAACCACCATCAATACTAGTTAGAGAACAAATCCCCAAGCTTTGTATACATACCTGTAAATTTCTCCCTAATAGTAGCGAAATCTGAGTCTAATTATGGCAAAGCCATACGGACAATTTATTGAAGATCGATCGATCGACTAAGTAGTTAATTAACTAAATAAATAGTTAACTACGTTAGTTAGTAGTCAATCAGTCAGCCAAGCCAGTCAGCTGATGATCGACGGTTCGGTTAGTTTCAAGTTATTTTAGTAGTTAGTCAACCTTTTTTTGGTTCGTCTAGGGTCAGATGATCATGTGGTTTTGCCGTCGTCATGTTCTTCAGTCTATGGGATCAGATGATCGTCGTGGGCTGTGATGATCAGGTGATTTGCTTATTCTGGGTGATGACGTTATTTGTCTGCTACTTAGTATGAGAGTAGGTGGTTGTTGTTGATACCACAGATAAATAAAAGTAATAGATTTATGTTTACTGCTGGGTACTAGCATCCTCTGGAACGGAGAATGTTCATGTTCCATCACACTAGGTTTTCATTTCATTTTGTAGTATCGATAGTCCTGGTCCCTGATTGTACATGCCTGAGAAGCCCGGAGATGAAAATTTGAGGGACCCTTGCATATAATAGAGAAAAACAGCTGGGTAGCCCCCTGGGTTTAGATGTTTCATGTGACAGGTAAGTGAGGATAGTTGCTCGACAAGAAAAGAAGAGAGGATTAGTAGAACAGAACAAAGGCAGTGTGTGTGCGTGTGTAAAAGATTGCGAGTTGTGTGAAGGGGGGATCCCAGTTTCATTGTAGGTTTGAGGTTTCGGATGGGAAGGAAGAGCAACTTTTCAATCAACGGCGACGGAAAGGCACGACTAGGTAGGATACGGAACGAAACGGGCGGGTAAAGGGAGAAGTCAGGAACATCAGTGGGGGGACATGATGTCGTTGGTTCCGAGTGCGGTTCATTCAAGGAGATAGTACTGGTATCTAACAGGCATGCATGGTCCGCCTCAGCAGGCTCCGGCTTCTTGTAAAGCGCAAGAAGCTCCACATACGAGAGGAATTATAGAGTAACAGAGAATATGATAGTATGAGAAAACGACAGCATCAAGAATCAAAAAGGAGTAGCACAAGAAGGGGCAGTGGTGATCGCGCGACTAGAGTTTTCCGAAAAAGGATGTTCATTGAGGGTCGAGCGGGTGAAGAGAGGGTGAAGCTGTGCTGGTCGTTTACTCCTGAAGCTGGCTGCGGCGGGTCTTCTCAGCCTCGAGGTTCTCATACAGAAGGTAAAGAGCCTTCTCATTCGCCTGAGCGCTACCCATGATGGTGAACATACGCTCGCCCGTTTCGTCATGGGGAGCCTTGGCGATGGAGATCCGGGCTCCAGAGCTCCTACGGATCTCGGTGATCTTGCTACCACCTCTGCCAATGATGCAGCCAACCATGTCGGCGGGGATGCTGATGTTCTGTGTTTGGATTTCCTCGCCATCTTCGGTGACAAGCGGATAACCACGGTTGCTGGTGTCGGGGTTGGATCGCCTGCCGTAGCCACCGGACTGGTCGCTGAAGTCAGCACCGTTACCGGTGCGGTTGTAAGGACGGCTGTTGTAGCCATTGCCGACGCTCTGGTTCATGGTGCTGGTGCTGGTGGTGGTTCCAACAGACGCACGGACAGCGGGGTTGTAGAGAATAGTACCGGTACCGCGCTGCCAGTCGTCAATCAGGCATTTTCCGATTTCCCAGACGGCCTTCTCGATACCCTCGGGGGTGCCCTGCACTTCGACAATGCGCTCAGTCGACTGGGGAAGCATTTCCTTCTGCGCGACCATGCGCACACCCGATGCATCCTGAATGTGCTTGATCTTGAGACCTTGGCGTCCGATGATAGTACCCATCTGGTTGTGAGAGATCAAAAGCCGAACGGCTACACAAGAGTCAGTTTGTAAGGCACTAGTAAATATTGGTTGAGTAGAAGAACTTGGATGACTTACGGTGAGTTCCATTGTTGGACACAATGCCACCCATGCCCATCTGCGGGGCGCCCTCGAGCAAACCCTTGGCAACCAAGGCATAGGCTCTGGCAGTGCCGTTCAGAGGACCAGTGACGGTTAAGACGCGGTCATGAACACCAGGAACCACCTTGCTCACACCAGCCTTGACGCCGGTTTCGTCACGCAGGTCAGCAACATTCTTGCCAGACTTGCCAATGATGATGCCGGCTTCTTTGGACGAAACGATGGCGCGAAGAGTCAGCATAGACTGAGCGTACTCTTCCTCAGTCTTGGGCGTCGTCTCAATATCGACATCGTCAATCATGTCGACGTTGTTGGGGGAGGTCTCATCGACCATGGTGGTATCGTGCAACTCGGTAGGGTCCATTATGTCGGTAAAAAGAGGAATGGTGAAGTTTGGGCGATAGAAAAATTCTGGTGATAGAAAAGGTAAGGTTTTTCGTTGACGGAACTTTTCCCACGAATTAGTGTTGGCACACGGGAGGGGGTGTGATGATTTTCGCGAGATGTCACGGTGAAGGGATAACACAGGAAAAGAAGCAAATGAGGTGGCGCGCAGGATTGGAGCAGGAAAATATAATGGTTCTTACCTAAAGTCGTAAAGTGAAGCAGAAAGACGATGGAAATCCGAAGAGATGAAAATTAATCTGCGAAATCCGGGAAGAGGAGCAGGTAGTCGAATGGGAGACCGGAGAGGGGGGGGGCAACGAGGATGGATTCAGAGGGGTTTTCGGCGGGCGGGGGAAAAGGTGGAGGGATTTAGGAGATGGGGTGGGAAGACGAAAGGGACGTCGGAAGGAAGAAGGGAAAGGGAAAGAAGAGAGGTGGAGGGAATAAGAGGAGGAAAGGAGGATGAAGAATGGAGAGGAAGAAGAGGGAGAAAGAAGCAGAGGAAATGAGGAGGGAGGGAGGAGGGAGTATGGGAAGCGGAGAGGAAGTGGTGGGAAGCGAGCAAAGTAAGGAAAAGGTGGAAGAAGGAAAAGAGGAGGAGGAAGAAGAAGAGGAAGAGGAGAGAGCGAAAGAAAAGAAGAGGAAAGACAGTCAGTCACTCAGTCACTCAGTCAGTCGGCGCTGATGCGACACCTTCGGGCTTAGTTTCGTTTTTCGGTTCACTCGTGCGGGAAACAATCAACAAGGGCTATGCCTGCTTGCCTTTCATGCCCGCCACGCTGCTGGCTCGCGCGAATTCAAATTCATCGTTCACGCTGTGTGTGATCTATCTACTTTACTTCTACTTCAGGAAAAAATCCCCCAATTGGTCTTCTCATCGCGCTGGCTGGGATGATCGTGCTGTACTGCTGTGGCTGACACCCGCCGAGTTATCCTTGATTACTACTACCACATAATAATCGATGACATTTTGGACCAAACTGCATGTCATGGGAAGGGCTCAAGCGTATCTTATCTTCATTGATCTAGCAACGTGCCATTCCTATTCTATTTATCCGCCTCGAAAATCACCTTTTGCACCTTCATGGCGTTGAAAATCTCATACGCCTCAACCGCCTGCGAAAGGGGCATGATCTTGTCGGCCATGAAGCTATTATCACGCGTTCATCAGCGTCTGCAAACACCCAAAATTCACAAAATTAGGGTTAAAGAAAGAGTAACATACCCAAGACGGTGCTGGTTCTTCTTCAAAACTTCCAACGCCTCTTCCGAAACGGACCGCACAGGGCACCGGCCCATCTGGACCGTGAGGTTCTTTCCATAGGCCTCACAGCCATTCCACGGGATCTGATAATGTCCCCAGTCAATCTACAGACCTCAGAAAGGACTCGGAACATCACTCACCTCTCCATTGTGCACACCAACGCTGCTGATGGTGCCAAACGGCCGCAGCAGGTCATAACCGGTCTTCAGCGCCGGACTCAATCCCACCACCTCAATGACAGCATCAGCACCACGTCCCTCCGTCAACTCCAGGACGCGCTTATCGAGGCCTTTCCGGTCAGTCTGGAAGTTCCAGGGCTCAGCTCCCAGCGACCTGGCTAGTTCCAGACGCGCGGGAACGGAGTCAACCGCCAGTAAATGCTTAGGCTTGTACTCCAGCGCATTGATCAATGCACAGAGCCCAACTGGCCCGCAGCCGATGAGGACAACCGTCTGCTCGGCGATTTGCTCCTTAGTGGAGTTCTTGAATGCATTCCGCGCCGCGAAGTAGCCAGTCGGGAAGATATCCGCCATGAGGACAAGGTACTTCTCGTCGACGCCCTCAGGGGCTTTAACGACTGATCCATCCGCATTGGGGATTCTAATCTAAGCGTAGGTTCCATTACCGTTAGACATCCGCTCCGGACATGGCGTCGTACTTCAAACATCATATTGACTCACATATTCGGCCTGAGCACCATCCAGATGGTCGCAACCCAGGAGCATGTTCTGTTCGCAACGGGATGAGTATCCTTGTTTGCAGTAGTAGCACTTCCCGCTATAAGTGTGCATGCATGCATTAGTATGAACGCCCCATGGATGATCACTTGCAGCGATCATCAAACTAAATGCCTCCTGCAGAGAGAAGAAGACAAAGACGAATGAAATCACCTACCAAGATGTCGTAAAAGCGCTCACGACCTTATCCCCCTTCTGGACAGACTGCACAGCATCTCCCGTCTCAACAACCACACCAGTAACTTCATGGCCCATGACATAGCCTGTCCCTGAAGGCTCAATGCCACGGTACACATGGAGGTCACTACAATAAACCAATCAGCCCTTCTGCCAAACCCAAAAAGAAGAAATAGAAGACGCACCTCCCACAAAGCGCCGTGTAAGTCACCTTAACCACAATATCACCCGCATCCTGAATCCGAGGCACGGGGCGCTCCTCAACAGCGACCTTATAAGGGCCGCGGAAAACCACCGCGCGCATAGTGTTGTCCGCAGACATGATCGATTTACCTTCTTCGGGCTAAGACACAGGGGGCCGAGAATTCCAAATCTTGAAAATAAGAAGAAATAAGTTGTATCGTGTTCACAGTTATGTTCCGTTCAACTTCAAAGAAAAAGAAAATTCTCTAGGAATGCACGCGTCCGATAAACGGACACCCCGCCAGATTATTACTTATTTGCCCGCCCCTCAGTTTCGTTTTCCTGTCCCATGAGAGGAAAAGAAAGGTCGGAGGCGTTGGTGGGTCCTCCCTCCCTCTCCCCTCGGAGTTGTGAGCGACCGCGGATGGCGGCGACTGGGTGGGTGGCATGGTGGAGAGGTCATTGGGGTGACTGTTGGGGTAGAAGGGAGGTAGGTGGAAGATGGTACTTGGAAGGTCAATTATATGTAGGATGAGATTGTGATATCGTCTGTTTTATGGAGAAATTATAAAGCAGAGAAAAAGAAGATGATTAGTGGGGGGGAGACAGGAGTTTGACAGCCGGGGTCCCCGCGGACTTAAGTACTCATGATATAGCGATAGTAGCAATATTCGGATTCCCCCAGGGTCCTTCTGCGACCTGAATTATTTTGGATTATATGCTTGTTGTGCAGTTCCTTACTATGGTTCTAGACGCACTTGTAGGGATTTTCAGGTGGATGTTGAGAGAAGATATGGTTACATTCGTAGTCTACAGTCGGACCAGTTCCCCCGGTGATATGTCTGCCATTCAACCTTTGACTCCTCGCTTACTATAGAATGCTATCAATCGGACATTTCATTTGCTCCGTATGCAGGATTAGGAACAGGCCTCGTTCTTGTATGGTGTGCTCCAAGCGATGCTCGGATTTCTCGCCGAGGAATGTTCCCCACTTCGCGACCAGAGTTGGAGACATGGGCATTGGCGGTTCAGGTCGCAGTAAGTACTTTGCATTTAACGCTATCGGCAATAAGGAATCAGCAATGAGCAAAAATTCATTCAAGGGGTGTTCTGGAAAGCTAGGCTTCTGCTATGCATTGGAATCAGGTCCACCGATTGCTCCAGATCTGCGGTGAACTCCTTGCGCATCAAGTAAGCGGTACTCCATCCAACGCCATACACATTGCGCCACGACAATATAACAAAGAAAACGCTCACTATAAGTATCAGCCCTTCGCAGGTATAGTCTTCAGACCTTCGCCCAGGAGTCTTGCATGTGAAACCAGCATGCTACGTCATCAATATCCCTGGAAAGAAGACGGACGCCCCGGCACGCATCAAGGTACCTAGCACACCACGCACAGCAGTTCTTCTTCCAGTATAAATTTACCCTCTTTATATTTCTCGCTGGCCTCGTATGCTTTGTCATACTTCCAGCCCACCGTCTCCTTGCACTGCCTGCAGTGAATATCGCGGACAATATGCCTTCCGGTGGTCATGCTACGCTCCACCGCTTCGGATGAGGTGATGTTGACGACATTGCCGAAGAGGTATGCTTTGCCATGCTGGCCGCGGAAATTCTGGATGACAGTGAAGATACATGATTAGTAGGTCACAGAAATATGTCATGGGAGTATCCCAACTCACCCGGCTTATGATATCGTCGTAGTCAGCGAGGTGAGTTTTGCATTGCTTACACCCGAAGATTTTGTTTGAAGTGAGATAGATGTTGTATGCCAGACCCATTGTGTCCTGATTGTGCTTGCCTTCCCAAAGCCACCTGAACAGGAGACGCCCTGAAACTTGAACTTTGAATACACCAGTGGATGAAGGTGTCCAGATCACGAGAGAGCCCGACGCTTTATAAGAGTAGAGAGGGGCAAGAAAGGATGCAAGGCGTGCTCAAAAAACTGCTGTGGCTTCGCTTCTCTTGCAAGAGGGGCTGAAGTTGTTCGTACGGTAGTTCAAGAAAATGGGGACCTTGTGACGGATGAAAGAGGTTGTCTTGCCAGGTAGAAGTTAGTGCTGAGAGTTAGAGCCCCAATATAATATAGCCTTCCGGCGAACTGCACATGAGCTCAGTCGGAATGGGAGGTATTCGAGGGGGTGGTGACAAGCAGCTGCGGCTCGTCTTTGTCGGGAATAAGCGGAGATGGGCCTAGGACAAATGAGGAGACGGCAGGTCAGCCACTGCCAGGTGGTGATATCGATACGGGAAGGGTCGACAGAGTGGGATAGAAACCGAAGGAAAAGGTTAGACTATTCAGGGTAAAACTATAGGTAGGAATGAGCTGATTGGGGGGAAACAAATGGTGTGGCACAGGAAATGGCTGAGCAGCGAGATGGAAGAAGGTGAGTTGGAGGTGGTAATCGGGCAGCTGCTCCCGGAGCTGGGAACCCCCGCATCGGACCAGGATTAAGGGAGCCAGGCCCCATGACGACCGCTATATTTCCCTTTAGGATCATACTCTCCACCCGCTAGAGTAAGCTTGGCTAGTTCCAAAGTCTCTTCTGTTTCTTTCATTTCTTCTCATGTCTATCCCCTGCTATTGCCGTGGCCAGCATAGTCCTAGTGGCTCCCCAAGACTCCTTTATCTGCATACCTATTCCTTATCGCGGTTATCACCGACCCGCCTGGTTGAGCCGATAATGGCAGCCTACTTACCGTAGCATACCGTCTCTGCCGTACGCAGAGTGAGAATTATGACCTGTTTAGTGGCACTTGGGATCCACGCTAGACTCACCTGGATGCACAAGGTGTGATAGTAGGAATTCTTGGCATTCCTAGCCTGGCTATAGTCATAATGCAGTAGACGATTTAAAAGCAGGGCTGAAACTTTACCTGTCTCCACGGTGCATTCACATCATATATGAAGTATACTACCACTGAAAAGAATTCAGGAGTTGAGTCACGCCTGTGATGGAGTAAGGCAAGATTAAGCGTCTTGCAGTTGATATGCTGCAGATACTAACAGATGAAGTTGATGAGGCCTGTCTAGTGATTTCGTTAACAGATAGTCAAAACGCGTCAGCTTTGCCCCTCTTTGCCTTTATATATTCTCCGGCGTCATCCACATTTGTGATGTCTCACGCTTTTTAGGTCTGTAAAGAACCATTGATGTCTATTGGGGATATATCTTAGTTAGGTCACAAAATTACTAGTCGACTGTGTGGTTTGAGACCTTCTGCTACTTGCTTGATGACTGTCCTCTGATGCACACCTACCGAGTCAACGCCTAGAACTTTTGTCTCGTTAAACTCTGTCCTATCACTCGTATGTGACTAGACTAGTATCTTGACTCAATACAATTACATCCAAGGGTAAAATTTCATCTTAATCTTCAGATATAAAGACTATCTATGTGACGCTGTGATACTAGAGGTCAGACTAGTTTGCATCAGCTAGAAAAGTCAGTGCTTCTAGCACTCGTGCCAAAGTTGCTCTGGAACATGATTCATCATGATACACTTGCATCTCTCTATTCAGTATCCTAGGGTTAAGACATCTATGTTAGAAGATCCCTTGCCCAGTATTTACAGGCAGAAGTCCAGAATCTGGCAGATGACCCAGTCATTTCCAGCGGTTGATTGCCAAATGATACCAACCCCTCCAATGATAGCAGCAGCAGCTTCCGTACTCTAGAGAATTCCATTCGGTAGCTACTATTAGCCTTGGCCAAGATTTGCGTTTTGCTTGATTCTGAAGGTATAAGTGGTCGGTCATGTCAGCTGACGTTTGCGCGGCTGATTGCTCATACGGTGGCCTTTCTACCTTTGTCCGAGTAGACCCCTGTTCCTTTCCCAGAAATGCCTGCAGTCGGTATGGCCCCAATGATCCGTCCACCATTCCCCAAAACTGTCCTCCACTTGCTCGTCGACTTTGGGCAGCCTTTCATCTCTTTTAAGTCCACATAGAGCACAAGCGTGAGGCGCCTTCAAAGCCCCTTGATTAGCAGGAAGTGTCGTTACCCGAGTATTCTCCTGTATGACCTGAACTGGTTGTCGTTTGGTGGCTTGAACGACGGAATTGAAGATTGCGGTCCGGTCACGCCACATGGCAAGTACATCAACAGCTTGTTGCTTTTCCTTGATATCCTCGTTCTTGTTTACTGTGTTGAGCTTCATGCCTCCCGACTTCCCTGAACGAGCTGGGCCAATCCTCATGCTCTGACTCAGTATGGAGTCCCGCTTCCATCGTAGGCTTCTGCCGGCAACAACCCGCGCGGCAGTCTTTAGCGTGTAGATAATCAGAGTTGCGGTATTCTCAAGTTGTTCTTTCTGTTGCATATCCTTTCTTGCTTTGGCGGCGTCTTGCCGAAGTTCATCTAGTAATCGAGGAAATAGCTCAAGCAAAACAGAAGGTGGAGGTATATTGGTCGGACGGACTTGAGCAGCTGCTGTAGGATGACTAGATGTTGGGAAAGAGCTTATTGTTTTCGATGGACCAACCATAGAGTTGGGGGACGGCACCTCCTTGCGAGGCGCCCGGGATATTGAAGCTGTAGCACCTGAGGTAATTGTTTGACTGGGAACTGTAGGCGGGCCGTCAACGAAGTCGCCCCAGTCCTCGAAAGGGTCTTCCTGGGTAGAAAGAGTCGGTTTGGGATTTGGCAATCCTTTTTTGCGTGCTTCAGGTACCACCCGATTCGCAGAGGGCTTCCGCTCAGATGATGGTGGTATATCATCACTTAATGATAATGAATCTAACAAGTCGGAAGGCGCCGGCTTTTTCGCGACTGGCGTGAGCTTAGATTCTTTCAAAACTTTGTGAGGTTGTAACCCAGCATTTGATGGTGGTTTAGTAGCAGGCACGTCCGCAGTCTCGAATTCGCCCCAGTCATCGCTTTCATCATCTGGAATACTTTCAAGGGTGGCATCAAATAAGATATCATTTCCGTGCCCGTACTGGGATAGCCCTGATGTACTAGGCGCTTCGAAAGCTGAGTCATTCCAGCCGTCGTCGAATTGAGCCGATTTTGTTGTGTTTTTGTTCGAGATGGATGAAGGACCGGTGGAAGATCCTTCAAATGCATCCAAGTCAGGGATCAAAGACGTCGACTGGAACCCAGCGGATGACTGCTGGCTTGAACCTCTCTGTGAAGGAGAGGGAGCAGTCCCCATACCAAACTCAGCAAAAAGATCTGCAGACATAATGTGGTGACTGTATGATAGTGAGAGACTATATATTTATATTGACGTGAAATAAGGCGTGTGCACTGGTAGTAATAATAGGTGATTTGCGGCCTGAAGAACGAGAACACGTCTAACAATAAATGTGTCGCAAAGGTCGAAGAGCTAATTAAAGCAACGCCTTGAACTTCCTTCAAGCTCTATATCCAAAGCGACGAGCGCCTCCAACCCCAAACTAGACACTCCCCGGTGGACAGGCAGAGAAAGCGTGACCGGAAGTGTGGCTGCTGAGCCAGGGAAATTCCAAGGCGGTCCACTAGCAGCTCCTCCACACGATCGCCGCTAGTACTTAAATTGCGGGCGGCACCGTGTTTCTGTCCCCTCACCTCTCCAAGCGCTAGCCAACACGAGGCAACTCATTCCGGCAAGCAGCCATTTGGTGAAATGAGGGGCATTGAGGAGACAAGGTATATCCATGCGTCGGTCCCCCATCTGCAGCACAGATGCAGCTAACGTATCGGCCAGGCAACGATGGAATACCTTCTTTCGCGACAATAACCACCCCGCCGATATCCGGACTGCCCTTCGGTCGGAACAAGGAGATAAATTGTGCGAGGATGGATTGAGGTCTATTTGCTGGAAGGCATGCGCTCGTGGCCATTATGACCTGGTCATCGTGCTTACCTGAGCGTAGGCGTTTCTGCTATTCGATGATCTCGACCGAGCGCAATGGTCGCAAAAGATCGCCGATTCGCGAAGTGTTTATGTCGCCCTGAAAGCCCATTTTTTGAAATACATCGAACATCCAGACGACCTGCAGTCGACAGTTGATCCACTGGCGGATGATGAAGCGGTATGTTATCTCTGGCCACGCTCTCTTTGGCAGAAGACTTGACGGGCTGATGAGAGGACCTGTGAAGTCTCCATGGCAAACGTTACGTGATGACGAGCAGTCGAGGGCGGATATCGCCCAGGACGTCGATCGATGTTTACAGGAAAACTTCTTCTTTCGCGAGCCCTCTACCAAGTCCAAAATGATCGACATCTTGTTCATTTACTCGAAACTGAACCCCGACTTGGGCTATCGTCAAGGGATGCATGAGATTCTTGCTCCTCTCCTCTGGGTCATTGATAGGGATGCCATTGAGCCAAAGTCACTGCAAGAGTCCAGCGCCAAAGAAGCCGATGATGACCTGATGCACACTCTCCTCGATGCCGATTATGTGGAGCACGACTCTTTTACATTATTTTGCTCAGTTATGCAGAATGTTCGCGTGTATTATGAGCATAATAGACACCGATCAGAGAATGGCCAGGCGGACGTTATACCGATCGTTCACCAATGCCACCGGATTCATAATGATTTGTTAGTAACCGCAGATTTGGAGCTGGCGGATCATCTGCAAGCCCTTGAAATCTTACCGCAGATTTTCCTCACGTAAGTACAGTACGCTATGCAACTCTTGAATTGCAAGGCTAACCTCAAAAGGCGTTGGATGCGTCTGCTGTTTGGTCGAGAGTTCGCTTTCCAAGATGTTCTTCTCATTTGGGATCGCCTTTTTGCGGAGGGGTTACGTGCCGAACTCATAGACTTTGTGTGCGTCGCCATGCTGCTACGAATTCGATGGCAACGTGAGTTACATCTGTTATGCAGACGGTTTGCTACAACGTGCTAAGTTGATCTAGTTTTGCGTGCCGATTCCTCGAGTGCTTTGGGTCTCTTGCTTCGCTACCCTTCCCCTCAACCCCACGAACCCCTGAGCTTCGTACACGATGCGGTATACCTGGAGCAAAATCCAACTCCTGATCGAGGAGTATTCATTATTTCCAAATATTCCGGAAGACCACCGGATCCCACCAAAGGACTCGGGCAACCCAGCCCAAAGCATTTAAACAGCAAGAAGTTCCGCTTGCGGAGCGTCTCAAGAGATCTAAGCGAAAGCAGCTCCCCTTCCAGGTCGCCTGCAAGGAACAGCCCCAAGAGTCTGGAGACGCTCTTCCAGGACGTTTCGGAGGGCATACAGCGTCGGACAGAGGCGTGGGGTGTAGCCAAGGCTGTCCGGGGAGCGGTGAGTGAAGCCAAGAGAAACATGCAATCTATTCAGTCGGAGCACTATTCCCGGACTGCACGGTATGAACCGTTAAGCTCGACTATAGGCATGCCGTGGGACCATGGCACCGACATTGCAGTCCAATGGAAGACAAAGCTTGAACAACTGGAGGAACGGAACAGGAGACTGGCCAAAAGTCTCGGCAATTCCTTAAATGACATCCGGAGCCACTTGATGAGAGCAGAGGGTATCGACAAAAAGACCACGGACGCCTTGAAAAAGGCGCTCACCCAAGTTCAGTCAGTCCAGAGCTGTCTTGAAGACTCTTCCATTCCCCCAGGTACCGTGGAGCAGGGTCCCAGCGAAAGTGGCGAGGGAGACCAGGAATCGCTATCTGACACTTCTAAACCCGCGAGCGAGCAAGCTGAGACGGTGCTGGGCAAATCAAGTGACGCCTCGTCGGCGACGCGCAAACCTAGTGTGTCTGCGAAGTCATCACGATCGTCCGTTGATTGCGAGACGAAAACCCGTAAAGCCCCAAGCAATGGTCAGATTCCCTCACCCATGCCACTACGACATGCGGTACGTCCATCACTGGCAGATTCAGAGTTTTCGTGGATGCTCGGGGGCGGGCGACAATTTTCGAGCTTCGTTAGTCCGGCATCCGTGCCGCCCGAACAGACCCGGCATGGAGAAATGCGATCCAAACCGAATACCCTATTTGGCAACGGTGACGAGGAACATGGAAGACCTGACGCTGAGGCCGACGGACTGGCGCTGCGGAGTCTTCGGGGACCCAAAGCTCGTGAATAGTCCGGATGCGATTTCTGTGTGACTGAACATATTTTCTCGAAGTCAGCCTCCAGAAACCTTAGTGATCCGTTATACCCATCGCCGTTGGTGAGGCGACTGCATCGGACTACAGATTTTGCTCATTTCTTTTGCATCGTGGCTCGACGGGCCGTAAATGTATTATCCGGTCCGTTTGCTCATAGCGTCCATCTCAATAATTATCAAATTATCATCACCCTGGGAACTCGGGTAGGGATTTTGCCACGGCAAGAGACTACTATGAATGTACTATGAATGTACGAAGGAAATGAGGATAAAGTGGGAATAGCAGGCCGGACGGGAGCCTGAAGCTAGCCCGACTATTGTAGGCAACAAGAAATTCAAGTGCCTAAGCAGGAACCTGACTTGCGTAAGTTGTCGACGAACTTTTCGGTACTGGGGCCCTTTGATCGCATCGATCTTCCATGGAAGCAACGCGGCCTCCACATGCCAGCGTGACTGGCAGACGTTCTAACTTCTAAGGTTCCAAACAGTGTCTTTACTGTGCAGCCACGGCGAACGCCAATTGGTCTGGAACCCGCCGGTGAGCTTAGTGCGGACGTGTACAATTGATCGTCGGGGCCTTCTGTCTAATGGAAGTCGAAGACCGGTAGTTCCCTGTGCGGTCTGTCCCAATCAAGTCAATTGAATCATTCGGTGCTTGCGGCGATCTACAACCGCAACGGGGGCTGGCTGATCGAGTTACTTTGGGCCGCCAAGATGGCGAGCAGAAAGTTGAATCATCCACTTTCTCTTGGGGGGAGTAGTAGACTAGGAGCTGGAGGGGAAATTCGTCGAACAAGGAATTGATCGGAAGAATGATAATACGCTGGAGTAGTCCAGAAGCATGTTTTCGAAGTTAGCAGAATGGATCGAACCATATGAAAGTATACTAAATGATCGGTTTCGTCCGCAGCCCGTCGGGAATTACATCACCACCATGCATGGTTGGGGTGGTTCCATTGGAATGAGTGGCTTGGAGGCCGTAGTAGTTAACGGTGTGTGGAGGATGTTAGACTCAAGGAAGTTAGGAACTCTAGTAGTATCCTCGATGGGGGGTTGTTTTTGGAAGGGTATTGATGGACTGCATTAGTGACTCCATAGTTTGTGGTTGTTGTCAATGGCTCGCATGAATCCAGGATGGGTATGAGGAGGGGAAGAAGGCCTTTTTTGCATGTATTATTTCCCCTTTCCCCTCGACCTCCCCGACCGTGCCGGACCACCAATATTTTCTTTGACCTGGTACTACTCTTTAAAAAGGAAAGAAAAGAAAATCATCGACGGGTTGGCAGGCAGGCTGACTGGCATGCTAGCTTGAACTTCTCGAAAGTTTTTACATACTCCCCCGGTTGAGTCCGATCTACCATTACTACTATTATTACTTATTTGGCTTCCCTGACAGCTCCCCTCCTCGTGCGTGGAGCTGCCAAACAAGACCCAATACCCAACCTAGGTACTCACTAGACAGACCATTAGACAGACTACTAAAAAGGGAGCAAGAGAAAGGATCATCTGAAACCTCATTTCTGTTGGTTCTTCTAATAGTCTTACGTCCGCGGGATACCAGAACAGAACGTCATTTATCCCCCCCTCCCAGAAAGAAACATCGTCAAGTTAACATCTTCATCTTCCCTACTACGGTCTCCACTATTTACCCACCCCGACTTACTCGCTTCTACCAATTTTTTCCTTCCCTTTCCTTCCCTACGACGGCATCCCTTTCTCCAGAGGATCGGATCCTCCTCTCACGGGTCTCCCCCCAGTACTGGAGAGGCCATTACAACTTCCCCCTCTTCCTTGGCCAGTCTTTGGCCACATTTGTCGGTTCGAAGACCCGGCGCCGACCTCACCTCCTTACCCTTCTACCACCCGCCACTGCAACATCTGCTTCATCTGCAGGCCATTGGCCTCCCTGTGACTAATTCCGACCAACAAGAGACTCCCTTACTACTTAGGCTTTCTCCAGCTACCTTGTTCCTCTCCCCCCGCGTGCTACGCCTCCTTCGCAACTGTATGGTACCTGTGACCTCACGAGGCAGCTGCCCACTCGACTTCCCGCCCGCAGTCCGCTGACAGCCTTTTTTAACCTCCCTCCACCTTCACTGTCGACCACGGACTGACCGACTCACTGCAAGTCTTGTTTGTCTCATTCAGTGCATTGAGATCCCGACAAGCAGGAGGTCCTGGTTAATCTCTCCCCCCTCGCAGTAACTCGTTATTTCCACCCCCAACGCACCGATCTGCAAGTGGAAAAAAGAAAAAGACAAAAACTAAAGGGAAAGAAAAAAGAGACCCCGAAGCAGAGCACCAAAAAGTTTTCCCTATAAGATAACCACAAGGGAGGCAGACAGACAAGAAACTTGCAGGTCTCGCCAAACAAACCGCCGTGGATGGTCAATGTTCTGTTATCCCATGTAGCAATAAATCTCGCCGTCACTTTTTCCTAGCCCTCTTTGTTTCCAAGTCATTTCGAGTTGCGCCGATTTGAACCGCTTGTTGTCAATCGGTCTGGTCGGTGCTGGCCCCTACGCTCTCGCCTACTTGGGAAAATATGGGTTCTACTTCCTATAATCCCGATGGTTAGTCTCCCAGTTTCTGTGATTGTTCTCTTTGATCATCACCCTTTCCGCTGCTTCTCCTAGCGCACCAATCCAGCAGGGGAAGAGTTGTTGGCTTCAAGCAGGACAATTTCGATAGGTTTACGCAAATGGCGACCAAGGCGCTTCGGCCTGGGAAGGCGAAGCTGCAAGAGCGAAATGACGACCGTGTCGAACTTTCGCCGAAATGGTCGTCCAACCTATTGGAATCTAAATCGACTTATCCAGACCATTTACCCACATATTTGGATATGCATCTCGGAACAAGTCAGCCACTTCATTCCACATTGCTGAAGGGTGTATTCGGGAGGGGCGCAGGAGAAGCGGATGATATCACAATTAGCGAGGGAGCAAAGGGATATTGGCAGAACAGAAGCTAACGACCTCCTGCCATACAGGTGAACCAAGCCCATTGTCGTCCCCCGTGGGACCCCTATCCGCGTCGCCCGAGTCAGACCCTTTTATGAGACGCCTCTCGGTGCATACGGAGGACTCGATGAAATACTCTGCAGACACCCTCTCCTCGGGCTATGATCATCTCTCTAGGTAAGTGACCGATGGGCGGGGATCTCCTTGCATTAGAATTGTATATGCATTTGCGCAAAGCACGCAGACAGAAACTAAACGGAATTTTCTATTGCTCTTCTGCAGGTCTTCTCTGCTTGATCATGAACATGGACTTGGCCCATCTGGTCTAGATCGCATACGTCAACAGCCATCACGCGTCTTTACCCTTCCGAACATGTCTGCCTCATCGCTCGCGCCTATGACCTCACGTAGCCACTCACCTTCACCACGCTCCGCTTCTTCGACCAGAGCCCATCCCAGCCGCATGCCATCAACCGAAGAATTTGGCACATTAGAAGATCTCCATCGCTTCCCGTGCGAATCGCTGCACTCGTTTTCCTTTGCCCAGCAATCCGAGGAACTCCTGAATAATCGGCATAATATCCTGAAGAGGTCAATAGACTTCATGCGCGACCGCTTCGGCTGGACCACCGGCAACAATGCGGGGCTTGCTGGCGCTCAGGCTCGTTTCGGTGGAGATGCTGACACCCAAAGCGTGGTGGACTACTTGTCGAAAACAAGCGTTTCGGGGAAGGATGACCGCTACAACTACGCTGGGTTATCGCGCGGGCCTATGACTGGACCTGCTGATGTGGACAGTGGCAATATCTTTGAAAGGGCATTTGCAGAATCCCAGCTTTCCGCGGAACAGTTCAAGGGCACGGCGCCGGAGCAGGGTCTGCCCGATGCTCTGCGTTCCTCTGGCCAAGCATCAGAAGATCTAGCATCCCCGCTGAGGACAGACTCAAGGCCGTACCCCAGGCGCGTAAGCATAAAAAAACGTACTTATACCGAGGCTGGCTCTATTACTGCCCAGGGCAAGCTGATGGAGACTTTAGCACCCTTCACCACCACGGACCCCTTATCTCCTACCAGTACCTCAACTCTAGGATATGGTTTCCCGGTTCCTGTCCTACACACCCACAGCAGCAAGTGGACACCCGCATCACAAGCCGTTTTCAGGACCGAGTCGCATGAACCATGGACCATCTTGGCGGCGAATGACATCTCGTGTCTCATCTTTGGTGTCACACAAGCGGAGCTCCGCAAGCTAAGTATCCTCGAAGTCGTACAGCAAGACCGCAGACAGTGGGTTGAGTCGAAACTGCGGGACCCCGCTACTGATGCTGCCGTAAGGGCCCAACCTTCGCCGGATAAAACTCGCGTTAAGCCCGTGAATCCGAAATCGATGGGGATGGGCAATGGTGTAACAGCGCAGCTGCTCAGCAAGCCCCCTTCTCGAGCGAGGGCTCCAAGGCGGGCCCAGACTGACGATGGATACGGCTCGAGCGCAAGGCAACTGAATCACCCGGCAACCAAGTCACGAGGTGTACTGCTGTGCGGCGATGTGGTACCCATCGAGAAGCGCGATGGCAAGAGAGGCTCTGCCAGCATCTGGGTGATGGAAAAGCGTGGTGGCTTGATCTGGGTCATGGAGGAGATCCAGGAGAATGTTGCATTCGTTCGCTGTGATGAATCTTGGAACATTGCTGACGCCACCGGTGATATTGACAAAGTCTGGGGTCAGGGTGCGGCAAAAACTGGAGATCGGATAACGGAATTACTTCCCAGTCTTCCGCCCGACTGCCTTGAATCTCCAGTCGATCGAGGCCTCAACAAAATCACTGAGACAAAGTACTTCGCTTCTCGCACATCAGCTGGTATCTGCATACCGTCCACTATCACTAAAGGCGATCGCTCAAGATGCCTTCGAATATCTAGCTTTCCTCATGTCGCAGGTATGATGGTGCTATCCTCTTCGACTCTGAAAATTGTCAGCTCCAATTCAGTCTTCTCGTCAGCGCTGTTTGGACATGAGCGACCTGAAGGCCTACACATCAATGATTTGATACCTGGCTTCGACAGCTTGCTGAACGTGCTCACCGAGGAGGAGAGTGTACCGCTGGTTGACGGTCTAGTAATCTCCGAACCCAGCTTCCGGAGAGCGCGCACCCTCTCTATTCTACGCGATGGCAAATCCAATGTGGCCTCGGTCTTCCTAGAACCCTCTGGCCTTGCTGCCGTGCATCGCGATGGCTCCTCGATTGCTGTTGATGTCCAGATGCGTGTGGCCAAGAGCGGTACAATGTTCCCCAAGGCACGAGATGAATCCACTTCGGGGGATCACAGCGACTCGGAGTTTGAAGCTGTCACAGAGCTTGTATACGCACTTTGGGTGACGTATTCGAGACATATCCATTCGGCAGCTCCTGCAGCTGGCTTCCCTTCTCCGCCGTCCCGGACCGAAAGCCCGTCTTCTATTTCGGCCTCGAATCTGGCTTCCACAACAGCTTCTACTCCCTATGCCATTGGCTCGGAGCGGACATCGGTAGAGACGCACATACCGACTTCTACCTTGAGTCAGGCGTTAAGTGAGGCAGCTTCGCAACCGCTAACGGACAAACCAGTCCAGCCAATGCCCGAAGTAAGGCCCACTGGTACTAAAGAGGTGCCCCAAAAACGAACGATTGCCGATTACATTATCCTCGAGGAGATGGGCCAAGGGGCCTACGGAGAAGTCAAGCTTGCGCGCATGAAGAAAATCCCAACCAAGAAAGTCGTTTTGAAGTATGTTACGAAGAAACGAATTCTGGTGGATACGTGGACCCGCGATCGTCGTCTAGGAACGGTGCCATTGGAAATCCACGTTCTGAACTATCTCCGACGCGACGGTCTGAAACACCCCAACATCGTCGAAATGGAAGGATTCTTCGAGGATGATATCAATTATTACATCGAGATGACTCCACACGGGCTACCTGGAATGGACCTCTTTGATTACATTGAGCTGAAAGCAAATATGGATGAGGCGGAATGCCAAAACATCTTCAAGCAGGTTGTGGACGCAATTCATCATCTCCATACGAAGGCTTTGGTTGTGCATCGCGACATCAAGGATGAGAACGTCATCCTGGACGGTGAGGGTCGGATCAAGCTGATCGACTTTGGAAGTGCCGCCTATATCAAGAATGGACCCTTTGATGTGTTCGTGGGCACGATTGGTAAATATATCCCAATTCTTTAGCCTAAATCTGTAAAGCTAACTTTTCCAAGATTACGCGGCACCCGAGGTTCTTCAGGGCAAATCCTACCGAGGCAAGGAGCAAGACATTTGGGCCCTTGGTATCTTACTCTACACCATCGTCTACAAAGAGAATCCCTTTTACAATGTTGACGAGATCTTGGACCACCCTCTCCGAGTTCCGTTCTTGCCCTTCTCGGAGGATTGCATCGACCTAATCCGAAGGATGCTTGACCGAGATGTGGACAACCGGCTGACGATAAGTGAAGTTTTGGAGCATCCATGGATGATTGACAGTTGAGCTCTACAACAAAGTAAATAAAAACGCGCCATGGCATGATACGTTGGATACTATTATGCAGCATTCCAGACATCGCACGCCCGCCTATGCAAAGACATGGGTCTTTCTCAATCTTGCTTTTACTTCCATCATGTTGAAGATGGAGATGACGACCAGCGTATGCGATGACTCCACATGAAGTGGCACTTATGATTGAAAATGATGAAAATGGATGGAGTCAAGCAGGATGAATAGGTTCAAGGGCATTTAGGAGCGTGGGGGACTTGTGGATTGGGGCACGAGACGGGACGGGATTCATTGGAATGGATGATAACGAAAATGCCTGAACAGACCGGGAGGCCCGTGGGTCATTTGTATAGAGGTTTACGGAGGCTGAGATACCCCATCGTCATCTTGTTATGCTCTTTTGGTTTAGATGATTTTCTTTTTCTTCTTTTGCATTTACTTGGACCATCTTTGATTCCATGCATGGCCCAGGGGTGATGAGAATTGGCAGTACGTGCATATGAGAGATCCGATATACCCTCAGCGGTGGTGTTCTTCGCTTTTTGACCTTTATGAGTGTTTATATGTTTCTAAGCCAGCAAGAGCCTGTCTGCAGTTAGAATAAGCGGGCACGAATAGAAAGACACGACGCATTCATGCAACTTACCTAGTCACCATTTGTTTGGTTCGTATTCCACATGGCGCGAGGATCTCGCCGGGCTTACCGTATCAACTGCGGGGGTAGAAGCGGGGAAAAGGCCAAAGGCTAGTGCTCGTAAAAGTAATAGTCTAGCCATACCGGTAGTAGTCATTTAGCTATCAAAGTAACTAGTAGAACTCGTGGCCGTCAGCCGCCTGAGAAACTCTGGTTAGGATCCGTGATGCATTGTGAGATCACACACCTAACAGGAGGTACTGTGTAGTCAGATTCCTCGGCTTAGAGGACCCCAGGTCTATCCTTCCCCCTTTCCAACGAACCACTACAGTTTGTAAAAGTAAGTAGCGCTAGTCATGTTGGGTCACTTTTATACACCATACTCTTTGTACTATTCCGTGGGTACATCGACTCCAAAATGGGGAAACCAAGTGTGCCCCGGGGGACCCCTACCTATCACATAAGTAAGAGAAAGTATCTACTTTGTCACTAGCGAATGTGACAAAAGTGGATGGGTACTTGGACTGGACCCAGGGACGAAAAGGTGGATACTAAGTATCGACTAGGACGGGGGTTGAATGGATAAATGGATGGATGGATGGATGGGTACCTTACTGGTTTGGGGGAATTGGCCGGTGACCTGTCAGTCAGTCAAACAATCAGGTACGAGTAGCTACCCTCTACTGTAGTCTATCTATCGCATTAAGTAAATACTCTGCATGTATCTATCTCTCCTTACTTCATGAGGAAATACCTAAGTACTAGTCAATATGTTAATCAATCGATACATAGAGTTTCCTATCTAACCAGTGTTCTCTCTCTCAGTGGTGGCGATGTCCACCACACTACTCACTCCGTTCCTACTGTGTATAACCGAGAGGCGAACAACGACTTACAACCCAGGCAGCAACACACACTCAGCATCCACCCTTTAGATACATACTAGCACTGTACGGAAATACTTAGTGTGGGGTGGAGAACCACGACCGTTTTCCTCTCCTCGCCCACCTGTATCGCTTGTCTTACTGACTTAGCCACAGTCCCCCACCCAATTGCAATATCATTGGGCACAATCCGGGAAGGTAAGAGGAACAAACCCGACCAGGAACGAAAAGCCGTTTTCCGCCATTCGGACGGAGCCCCGGTCGGTTCGGGCTTGGGCCCTTGTCTTGTTGTGGTGGTGCTTTGGGCTGGTCTCTCAGTGTACCGTGGCATGGGGAGTGGTGTTCTGGGCTCTGCTTGGTGGGTTTAAAGTGGGTTTGGGGTTTTGTTTTTGGTGGGAGTGGAGAGGGGAGAGGAGGAGGATGGAGGATGTACAGGGATTGGGTTTGGGGGTTTCTCTTTCTATTCTTCTTTTCTTTTTTCTTCACTTGTTCTCTTCGGAGAGGCGTTTGTGTGTTGTGAGATGTTGAGATTGGAATTGAGATTGAGTTGGTATTTGTCTGTTTGTCCTGTTCAAGTGTATTGTTTGCAAATGGGTAATGGCAGAATCTTGAGGGATGTGCTGTCTCCAGGTAACTGCATTTTCAAGACAAGGAACAGGGAAGAGACAGTGAAAGAGAAAGGAAAGAGCTAAGCCTCCACTCGACGAGACGGGTCTATAACACCAAATACTATCATTGCTATCGTTACCGTTCTTCCCAGTCGTTTGCATACCGATCGTAATGCCCTTTCCCGCCATCCTTATCTTGACAGGTGAAACTTTCTCGATTGATCGGCTGACTTGAACTTCTGATCTGGAGTAATATGTCCATGAGACCACCATTCTTATCTGCCTCTGCAAAAGATGAATCAGAAGCCCATTGTTCAAATTAAATTGACCATTCACTGACCGGAACAGACGGTAAGAAATGCCTCTCGGAACGCGTGGTGACTCCGCCGGGAACCACCGCCACCGCCTGGGAGCCAAGTGGGGAATCCATTAACACGCTAATCGATAAGTCTGGAGGGAGAGAATGGAATGTCTCGATAAGCCTGTGGGGTAACTCAACTCACGTCTTACGGATAGAAACTGACTATTGAAGGATCCCCGACAGGTACGGTATTGTTCGGAAAGTCCCTCTTCCCACTGACTGGCTATGTGTTGCTCAGAATGGGGGACGGTGGCTGCTGTGAATGGTCCAATTCAGTAAGCTCGCCCGGTCCGACTCCATTGTTTCTGTGGCCATGCAGGCCATGGAGTATCCACGCTCTCTCTCTCTCTTTTCGTTTCGGTGTTTCTCTCTCTGCTACTGGTGGTGGTGGTGAGTTGCTCGCTGTACGATAACTGGCTGTCGTCTGACTTGGCCAGCCTTACGTGATTTTCCCCCCTTCTGTCTTCTTGCTTGCATTCTTGCTTGCCTGCTTTCTTTCTTTCTTCCTCTCCCATCAGCTTCTATCTTCGCTGTTCGCTCTCCTGCAGGGTCTTCCGTTTGCGTGTAGCCTCACTGCTTGCTTCATTTACTTTTTCGTGTTGACCACTTGGATGATGCTTCGGTGACGTCTGCAGGAAACCCAGTGTCTTTTTTACTTGGAGGGAATCCAAAGCCTGTGCCGGCCACCCGCACTCGCTGCCACTTCTCCGGGGTTACGCGGTCTCCTGTCCCATGGTACCAGCATTAACACTTCTTAGCCGAGACTCTCCCCCGAATTTGGTCGCTTGTTTGTCTGCTGCCCTACTGCCCTGCTGACCCTCATCCTCTCCCATTCGGCTTCCTCTTCGCTCTCTCTCGACAAAACCTGTCCATCCGCAGGATCGGGGTTCGGCGTTTTTGCTTCGATTAGGGTGATAACGGTGTTATTGCGGCTATCGCTATCTCGAGAATCATACTTGCGGAACGGCTGGCGGTCTGGCTTCATTATGACTGCCTAGGACTGGATTATTGCGACCACCTGTGCTAGTCGCTGCCACGAATCGTCCTGGCTAGCTGTCCGACTGTCTACACATTCTCCGCATACCTCTCCGTCCTCCCCGAAATACTGTTGAGAACTCTGTTCATCCTAGAGCCTCGGATCTCGAAACCGCAATTCCGTCATGGCTACCGCATTCCCTGATGAAATCAGGGCTTCGCCCGAAGCGGCCTCGCCGGCGAGCCCGGCGTCTTCAACTGGCCAGATTCCTTTGGAACAGCCGCCCAAACTCAAGGGGCGTCACAAGTTGCTACAGAGCCTGCAGCGCATCTCGTCAAGCCCGAGTCTGACCAGACGGGGCCGGTCCCATTCTACGGGATACCGTCGTGACAACAAGGCCTCTTTGTCCTGTGTCTCCCTCTCCCAGTCCGCATATACTCCTTGCCTGGGTAATGGAAGTACCTCTCAACTCTATGGCGGATTGAACGCCCGTCCAATCACCCCCGGTGCTGCTGCCTTTCCAGTAGACCATGACGGAAATCCTCGAATCCGCCTTGTCGGTTCCGACTCACCCAATGCGCGGACAGTTCCATTGCCTACCGATCTGCGACCAGGATCTCGTGGGTCCCCGTTGGGATCGGATGCAGCCGATCAACCTGCCACGGCGCGGTCGTCCCCGAAGCCAAAGAAGGTCTTTGATTTCTGGGGCAATATGCCCGATGAGCTGAAGATGCGCATTTTCCAGTACCTCACCCCGAAGGAGATTGTCCGTTGCGCTGCTGTTTCGAAGGCATGGAACAAAATGTGTTATGATGGACAGTTGTGGACCGAAGTCGACACGACAGACTACTACCGCGATATCCCTAGCGATGGTCTTGTGAAGCTGATTACCGCCGGTGGGCCATTCGTTCGCGATCTCAATCTCCGGGGCTGTGTCCAACTGAAGGATAAGTGGAAGACTGAAGGCGATCGCATCACCGACTTGTGCCGGAACGTCGTCAATTTCTCACTGGAAGGATGTCGCATCGACACTCAATCGATCAACTGCTTTCTCTTGCGCAATCCCCGACTGGAATATATTAACTTGTCCGGATTATCGTCTGTCAGTGACTCTGCCATGACGATTATCGCACAGTCCTGCCCTCAACTTCAGATCTTGAATGTATCTTGGTGCACCGGCGTTCACACCGCGGGGCTCAAGAAGATTGTGAGCGCCTGTAACAACTTGAAGGATCTCCGAGCAAGTGAAATCCGTGGGTTCGACGACGTCGAATTCGCCCTACAACTATTCGAGCGGAATACCCTGGAACGCCTGATCATGAGCCGCACGGAGCTTACAGACGAGTGTCTGAAGGCACTTGTGCATGGGCTTGACCCCGAAATGGACCTTCTTGAGGAACGAGCGCTTGTCCCTCCGCGACGACTGAAACACTTGGACATCCACCAGTGCACCGAATTGACAGATGACGGTGTTAAGTGGCTTGCCCACAATGTTCCGGACCTGGAAGGCCTGCAACTCTCACAATGCTCTGAGCTCAGCGACGAATCCGTTATGGCGGTGATCCGGACCACTCCTCGTCTGACACACCTCGACCTGGAGGACATGGAGAGGCTTTCCAACCATACGCTTCTCGAGCTTGCCAAGTCCCCGTGTGCTGCGCGCCTGCAACACCTCAACATCAGCTATTGTGAAAGCATTGGCGACATTGGAACCTTGCAGATCATGAAGAATTGCCCTGCCCTCCGTTCCGTTGAAATGGACAACACCCGGGTGTCCGACCTGACCCTGATGGAGGCCAGCTTCCGCGTGCGCAAACGTGGCTACGATGAGAACCTTCCCAAAATTGGCCTCCGTCTGGTTGTATTTGACTGCGCCAATGTCACCTGGGCCGGTGTAAGAGAAGTCCTCTCAAGCAATGCCTACCTCCCGCGTGCTACCCGCAAATCCATGCAAGCAGTCTCGGTTGTCACCCACACGGTAGATCCTAATCAGTCCACAACTGTGATTGCTTCCTCTATTACACCTCCCCCGCCGCCACCCGTATACCCCAATGAAATTATCCATCTGAAGTGCTTCTATGGCTGGCAGCCGACTGTGGATGAACACAACAAGCGAGTTCTCCGTGGTGATCTTATGGCTGCGAGCAGGCTGGATCGGAAGTGGGCCGAGTACATGATGGCAACCGAAGAAGCGGGTGCTCCAGGATCCGGGGTGAGAAGAAGACGGCGTCGAGCCCGTGAAGCCGAGAGAATCTATAACGAAGACGACGAAGATGCAGCTTTCGGTGTCGGAGCTGTCACTACACTTGGGGCAGGAAGACGGCGACACACTGAAGGCGGCGGCACAGGAGGCTGCAGTGTCATGTAAGGTGACTACTCGTCTGTTGGTCGATCTTGCGAAAGAAAGTGTGTTTGGAGCGATGCACTCGTTTCAATGTTTTGATTTACTAGGTTCTGGAAACCTTGTTCCCGCATGTACCGGCGTTCGTCTCGCCCTGTTGGGGTAGAGGATAGCTGGAACCGCGTGCTGGGATTTGCAAGCATCGCTCTGCTGTGAGCATGCTATGAGATATGACATGATGATTTCGCGACAAGTGCCAGTCACTTAGTCGGCCCAGAGAGCATCGGGAGTGTTGACTGCTCTGAGAATCTTTGGGTCACCACTGCGCATCTTTCGGGTGTTCTGGCGAGCTGAACTGCCACACGATCGACGTGTATTTCTCGTTCATCTACTGTACTTAGAAGGATGGCGAAGCCGGAGTTGGTGAAAGCATCCACAAACAATCTTTTAGACTCGAACTGGTTCTTAGCATCTAGCCTTTGTCGTTCTACTGTAGGAACTCGGATAGTTGAAAACACTTGATCATTGGGTATCGTATAAGGGCATAGCCACACACTTCAATGAGAAAGGCCCAGGAAAGAAACAGATAAGACATGTAACTCCAACTCCAGAAAATGCGTTCACGCTCAACCAGCCCAGACATGGCAATTTCACATCTCAAAGAAACCGCCATCACTCTCATCGCCGTCATCATTGCCTGCATCCCGCATGACATGATCTTCAGCAGGGCCCCTAGACCTCTTCCTATCATCCACCTTCCTGGACCTGTCCCTGCTCTTTCCAGCCTGCGACGACGACACCCCACGCTCTTGGCTCTTCTTCGCCTTATCACCGGCCCTCTGACTTCTCTCCTCCTTCTTCCGATCCTTCTCCCCAGCCTTCGCCCCAGACTCCAGCTTTCCATCCCTCAACATATCCAACGTCCCATCCTTCATACACTTCTCCACCACATGCCACATCGCCGGCTTATCGGCAACCGTCGCATGCACCATTCCAAACCGTGCATCACCGTCCGAGTCAGCGCCATCACCACCATCCTCCGCACCGTCTCCCTTAACCTTCTTCTTCTGCTCCGCGTACAAGGCGATATACTTCTCATCCAATGGATAGTAAATAGTATAGTTCAAGTTCACGCGAGCGACTCGGAGCTTCTCCGCCAACGAAGCAAGTTTCTTCTCCTTGGTCTTGGTATCCATGGCATCGGGTCCGGCACTCGAGACTTCCTTTTCGCGGCGCACCAGCCGGTTCACGTCTTTGGTTGCGGTTTTGCGGTCTACAGATCGAGTATCGAATTAGCAACAGCCCCCCATATAAAACCCACGGCACAGCAAGACATCGTAAGAAAGAGGGCGGGGGTAGAGGAAGAAAAGCATACCCAAAAACCTAACAAAATGATACTTCTTAATCATCTTCGACCGATCCCTCCTCTTCAACTCATCCTCCAATTCCTTCTCATACCCGGACAACGCGCGCTCCTGCACGATGCGCGCATCGGCCGGCAAATCCGCCTTGTTGAGTAGACGCTTCACATCCCGGATACGTTTCTTGAGCTCGTTGACAGACGGGTATTTGTGTTCTTTCTTGGGGAGGAGGATTTTCTTGCGCGGGCCTGCTCCGGCTCCGGGCGCTGCAGCAGCATCTGCATCGTCGGAGATATCGTGGGATTTGCGTTTTCTGTGGGCGGGGGCGTATTCTCGTGGCATCTTTGTTTTAATTCTTGGTTTCCGGGAGCGTCTAAAACGAGAGGGAAAAGAGGGGAGGCAGATGATAATTGTTTGAATTATTTTAATGGAATTAAGAAAAAGTGATAATAGCCGGATCATCTATCGGGCCGGGAAAAAAGCTCCCCGGATTGTGAGAGGACGAGATTGGCCAATCAGCGCGGGGATAGTCCCATGACGCGCGCCGCAATTCAAGGATATGGATTGAACTAGTACTACTATTCTCTTACCTTGTTCTCTACAATTTACCATCTTCATCTCTACTTACAACAGGATCGGGGAATACAGGCCTGGCTGTTGCTCAGACAGTCTCCCTAATGTGCGATTGACACTGGGAATCATAGAAGAAGAAAATAATCCCCCACCGATGGGCAGTGACACATCAGATTCGCGCGGCTGAAATCATATCTCAGTTGGTGACCGGTCCAGTCGCATCTGCGACGAAGCCCCAGCCCAGCCCAGCCTAGCCTAGCCCCAGCCCCCGAAAAGACCACAGGGGTTTGCGGCGTGCAAGTGTATGTGTGTGAGTGTGTGAGAGGTGGGCACACATTAAAGCACACAAAAGCGGACAGATCACAAAACCCACAATCCATCTACCCCAAAAAAGAAAAAAATAGAAAAGAAAAATGGAAAAAGCCATCCGGTGGTCCCCCACCTCCACGACAGGCGAACAACGCTTCCTCTCCGTGGACGTGACGGGAAAAGCCTTCCGATTGTGCAAGGTAACCTCATATGAGCGCGGCGGCCGTCTAGAGCATGAAGAGCTAGCGACGCATACGAAAGTGCCCGCGTTCCGGGCGTTCGATTGGTCACCGGTGGATGAATCGTTGGTCGCGGTGGGCCAGTCGTCCGGGGATGCGACGATTCTGCGCATGAAGAGCGATAGTCAGGAATCGTACTCGTTTCCGATTCGACATCAGCGGTACTGTAATGCGGTTGCGTTTAGTACGCATGGGTTGCTGGCTGCGGGACTGGACCGGGTGCGCAATGACTTCTGTTTGAACATCTGGGATGTTAATCAGAGGTTGGCGAGTAAGGCTGTGAAGGGGTTTGTGGAGCCGTTGAGGAAGTTGGCCAGTTCGGAACCGATAACTAGTGTGAAGTTCTTTAGTGATCAGCCGGATACGTTGGTTACGGGAGTGAAGGGGCAGTTTGTGAGGATCTATGATTTGAGAGGTGGGTTTCTTCCTTGTTTTCCTGGTGGGTGGGTGCTGATTGAAAACAGAGGGACCTGGAAACCCGTCGCTGCAATTTCCTACTCGCTGCGTGCATAACATTGCTATTGACTGGCTCGATGAGAATTATATCGCGTCTTGTCAGGCTACTAATGACCCGACTATCTGTATCTGGGATCGGCGCATTGGGTCGCGCTTCATTACGCCGGCTGTTGGGCCGGCAAATGCCCTGGAGACGAGCCAGCTGGGGCCGTCGCTGGAGTTTGGGAATGTCATTGCTCCCAAGTCGACTATCTGGAGTTTGCGCTTCTCTAGGACCAAGAGGGGCTGCTTGGGTGTGCTATCCAATACGGGGCATTTCAAAACCTACGACATTGTCAAGGAGTATCTGGACGAGGAGATGCGCTCGTCCATGGATGAGACCCTGGGGCAGGGCGCGGCGAGGAACTACCCCGAGCAGATCTACACCAAGCACGTCCGAGATGTTGTTACGCCTTACAACCATCCGTCTCGGGGGTACGATGAGACGGACAGGGTTGTGGCATATGACTTTCTCAATATGAGTCCGGGCAATGAGCCCAGCGCCATTACGATTTCCGGCAACGATGAAGTGAAGATTCTCACTGCGAAGCCTCCAGCGCCGCCCGTGCGGCTTTCGTCGCAGGGAACATTGATATGGGGTACCACAGATGAGGACTCTGATTTCCGAGCGATCAATCCCCAGTCCAGTCACGGGTTGAGCATTTTGGAGATGGTGGAAGACCTCCGCGAACGAGCAACATCTGAGTCGAATGGGCAGGCTTCGCAGAAAGGACGCCGGGCCGTCAACCGGCCAGCGACACCTTTGTCGAGCCGTGAGGCCAGAGAACATGCCTTGTCATTGGGGACCTTGGGCGGTCGGCTGCCTGTGAAGGATGCTCTGACTCTGTTGTCGGTGAACCGGTTTCGCTGCAAAGAAGGCTATCTGTTTGACGAGGCACGGAACAAGAAGATACTTGCTGATGACCCGTGGCTGCAGGGCTTCTGGGATTGGGTTGAACGTAAGTGCGCAGCCGAATATCACGGGTTGTACTGACCGCATTATAGGCGCACGTTCCGACTCTAGTAACGAATCTATGATTATCAACGGGCTGGATCTGAATTACCTGGGCGTTTACGATGTCTGGAACAATGACTTAGGTATGTCACCTCATGCCTGATGCCATGCATGGCTGACTCCAACAGGAGAGAGTCTCCATGACCGACGAGTCGGCGGCAACCCGGCATCCGACATTCACGAAACCATCGTGGAGCTGGTTCAGGATCAACTCAATCTCCCCGAGACGAAAGGCTGCGAGACTGAATACCCCGAGCATCGCCGGCTGTGCCTGCGACTGTGCGGCGCGGCGCAATCGCACCGGGAGCTAGAAGAGATGGTCAAGACATTGTCTGCTGACAAGCAGCACACCAAGGCCGCTGCGCTGGCCATGTTCCAAGACGAAGCGAAACTCGCGTATCTGGCTCTGCGGAGCCACGAGCCCACCCAAGCTCACAAACTCCTCGCCATGGCTATTGCTGGAGCCGCGAAAGGCGACACCGACTCAGACTGGGAAGACACCTGCGCCGAGATCGCAAAGGAGCTTACTGATCCTTACGCGCGAGCGATTCTCGCGCTCGTGAGCAAGGGCGACTGGCGTTCTGTCATCCAGGAGACCACCCTTCCGCTCAGATACCGGATCGAGGTAGCGCTGCGCTGGCTGCCAGACGACGACCTGACGAGCTATCTCCACGAAACCACTACCACTGCCATTCAGCAAGGCGATATTGAAGGTATCCTCCTGACCGGACTCAAAAACTCCGCCATGGACCTATTCCAATCCTATATCAACAAGTACCACGACATCCAAACGGCCGTACTAGCAATGAGCCACACCGTCCCGCGCTTCATCAGCACCTCACCCGACCGCGCACGCTTCGAATCCTGGCGCGAGACCTACCGCCAGCAGATCAACGCATGGAAACTGCAACTGGAGCGCGCACGCTTCGACGTCGGCTCCCGCAAGTTCGCCGTCACCTGGGACGGACGCAAACTAGTCGACCCGCCCCGCCAACAAGTCAGTCTCACCTGCAATTACTGTACACGACCACTCACGCAGCACGACGCTTCCTCACAACTGACACCCTCGGTGACGGGCGAAGTTACACACCCGACGCCAGGCAATCCCCTGGGCAGCGCCGCCATGTCCGGCACCGTGTGTCCCCGCTGCGGACGCCATATGCCGCGGTGCGGAGTATGCACGCTATGGCTAGGAGCGCCAGACCCGATGTCCAAGGCTTGTGTGGCGGCAGATGCGGCGGGACGGCGGCCATCTGAGACGGAACTGATGCGGCGGTTTATAGTGTTCTGCATCAATTGCAACCATGGGTTCCATGCGCATCATGCGCGGGAGTGGTTTGCGCGGCATAAGGTGTGTCCGGTGGCGGAGTGTAGTTGTATTTGTGATCGGTGATCCTATCTGGAATCAGTGTAAAGAATCGGATATATGGTTTTGTTTGACTGGGAAGGATGCGTTATTGTGATATACCCTATTCGCGGTGTTTGCTAGTTTATGTTGATGCATGAAGTATAATTTAGAAATAGATGGGTGGGAAGCATTAATAGGATTAATATCATTAACTGTATTGTCATTGACTGTCAGTTTATTTTCCATGTCAAAGAGTGAACGATATAGTGAATGGGATAGATAGTCGGGGAGCAGAAGTGGGCCCGCGGAGGTGGAAAAGTTCCGCCGAGCCCCTCCATCTTCACTCCGCACATCTCGTTGACACTCCATCTGCAACTTCATTTCATCTCTACCGAACTCGCAATTACACTTGATTGTTCACTCAGCAAATCATCATGCCTAAGGGTCGCCCTCCCGCCAGCCGCGCCGTCACGGTGTCCAAAGCACTAAGTCTGCTTCTCCGTCACGCCGCCGAAAAAGAAGGCCTACCGATAGATGCGCAAGGCTACGCCAATGTGTCTGATGTGGTGCGTCCTATCCCAGCAGAATCATAATCCAAGGATAACTCACCAACTAATATGGGATTTGGTATACAGCTAGCATGGCGCAAACTTAAGTCCCTAAAAGTCACCTTCCCCGAGATCGTCGACGCCGTCGCCAACTCCGATAAGAAGCGATTCGCGCTGCTATACACCCCATCTACATCCCAACCTACACCAACCGCTACAGAACCAACCCCTACAACTACATCTACAGACCCCACCACAGAAACCGAACCCGAAGTAAAAGAATCCACTGACACAACCACCACAACCACCGCCCTCGCTGCAACCACCACCGACACCAACCCCACGCACTACCTCATCCGCGCAACGCAAGGCCACAGCATCAAGACCGTTGAAGCTGCGCACCTCCTCGAGAAACTCTCCCTCTCCGACAAAGACAAACTTCCGCGCACTGTCGTTCACGGCACATTCCACTCCGCATGGCCGGCCATCTTCTCCTCCGGTGGACTACGCTGCATGGGCCGCAACCAGGTACATTTTGCGACAGGGCCAGCAGTGGAAGATGTGTTGGCGGGAAATGCGGTGGCCGCGCCGGGACAGGTAATTTCGGGGATGCGGAGGGATGCGCAGGTGCTGATTTATGTGGATTTGGAGAAGGCGTTGAATGCGGGATGTCCGTTTTGGAGGAGTGAGAATGGGGTGATTCTTAGTGAGGGGATCAGCATAAATCAGAATGAGGATGGGAAAGAGGGGGGGAAGGAAGAGAAGGTAGTGCCGTTGGAGTTTGTGGATGTGGTGGTGGAGCGCAAGATGGGCAAGATTTGGGAACGCGGACAGGTGGTGCAGGAGTGGCCGTCGGAATGGGCGCAAAAGGGGACTAGACAGAAGGGGGGTCCGACGGGAAGGAATCGTACTTGATACTTAATATTTGCATAATATGGTGGATAAGTAGTTAGTGAATGCATGCCGTATGCAACCATCAGGCAATGGATCAATCCGCGTGGGGAATTATCTCCCATACAAAGTCCCAGTATTTCCTTCCGAAACGTGCGGGGAAGACATCGGAACATCATCCGATCAGCGCCAAAGTGGCTTTCCGACCAGCGACAGCGAATCCGGGGGATCCATTAACAATCACTACTAAGTACTTAGACTAGTTACTATATAACCACCAAGCACCATCTTAGTTCAACTCTGCTAGTTTCCTCTCTACATCCTCCCTCACTTATACCCCATACCTCCCTCCCATACACATACATACCCATCAAAGAACAGAAAACAAAAAGAAGAAAAGAAATTCAAAATGCCGCGCTTCGACCCCAACTTCACGGACAACGTCATCAACAGCATGGGTCCCAAAACGACCCCGCGCTTCCGCCAACTGATGACCGGTCTAATCCGCCACGTCCACGACTTTGCGCGCGAAAACGAACTCACCGTCGACGAATGGATGGCTGGCGTAAAGCTCCTCAACTGGGCTGGTCAAATGAGCGACGATAAGCGTAACGAAGGACAGCTTGTTTGTGATGTTATCGGACTTGAATCGTATGCCTTACCCCACCACCACCACCACCACCACCACCAAACCCCCACACACAGACACATACTAACCTATAGTCTATAGCCTCGTAGACGAAATCACATATACATTGGCCAACGAAGCCCCCGACGCCCCCACCGCAACCGCCATCCTCGGCCCGTTCTTCCGCGCCGACACCCCCTACCGGGACAACGGGGCGAACATCGTCCTGACCCCGCCGCCCGATGGCGAAATGGCATTCATGCACGGGCAAGTCGTGGACTTTGCGACCAAGGAGCCGCTCGTCGGGGCGACTGTTGAGGTGTGGCAGGCTAGCACGAATGGGTTGTATGAGCAGCAGGATCCCAAGCAGGAGGAGTTTAATCTCCGCGGGAAGTTCAAGACCGATGAGCAGGGTCGGTATAGCTTTTATTGTTTGAGGCCGACGCCGTATCCGGTTCCTGATGATGGTGAGTTTATCCCCCTTTTCCCTTTGGGGGATGGGTTGGAGGGAATGGTAGATGAGGGGTAGGCTAACTCTGGTGGTGGTATAGGTCCCGCTGGAAAGCTGCTCGAGTTGATGGATAGACATCCGTTCAGGCCGGCGCATATTCATATTATTGTATGTCTACCAATCCCCTTCTTCTGTGTATTGACTGTGGAGAAGGAGCGTGAATATACTAATGAGGTATGGTGTAGGCTACATATGACGGCTACAAGCCCCTCACGACGCAAATCTTCGATTCCAAGGATAAATACCTGACCAATGACTCGGTGTTTGCGGTCAAGGATTCGCTGATCGTGGATTTCGTGCCTCGCAAGGATGATCCTCAAGCTGGTCTTGAGTTGAACTATGATGTTAAGTTGGTGCGGGCGCCGGCGAACTGAGCTATTTACTTTCATACTATTTATTCGTTTATCTATATATTTTCGATACGTGACAAATTGTATTGTATGAGCGATTGTCTATTGACGTTTGGGTTGTGCATTGTTCTATACTTGTAGTGTGGAGTGATTTGGTCATGTGCTGTATTGTAGCTTCATCACGTACTCGTACAATGAGGTATCTAAATCATACCAACTCATACGCTATACTTATAGCTTTAATCACATGATGAAATCTAGTTTAAGATACTAGCCAGTTACAGGGTTTGCACAAACCCCCCAATAAGTCCTCCAACCTCCTCCGGCGCCTCCACACAATGCCAATGCCCGACTCCCCGCAACACCTCCAACTTCTTCTGCGCACTCGACACGCTCGCTTGAATATGCTCGCACCCCTCCATCGACGCCGACTTATCCTCCTCGCCCGCAATCAGCAAGTACGGCGCCGTAACCTTCGAGTAATCAATCACCGGCGCATTAGCAATCGCCAAGCAGAGCGCTGCGTAACCCTTGGGGTTCTGTCCGATGATCAGTTCACGAATGAACGACTTCACGAGTGCGGAGCTGCGGGAGCCGGTTGCTCCATTGGGGATGGTGTTTGCCATGGGTTCCATGCCAGCTGGGATACATGTTAGTGTACATTCGGATTGACTGATTTGGTGGCTGCTCACCCTTTGAGACTGTCTCGCTGCGCTGCGTCATCACCTCTGTGAGCTTCTCAGACGGGTGAGTAGGCCCGATAGCTACGACGCCTGATATGCGGTCGCCGTACTGTGCGCCCAGGAGGGTTACTACGAGACCGCCCATTGAGTGGCCGACGGCCACGGCCTTGGGCACTTGTAGTGCATCTAAGACCCCCACGACATCGGATGCGATGGAGGCAATGCTGATGGCGTCGCCGGTGTATGTGGACCGGGCTGAGCCGTAGGTATCGAGGGTGATGCAGCGGTGGTTACTCAGGTAAGGGAGGATAGGGAAGTAGTAGTTCTGCGACGAGCCCAGGCCGTGGATGAAGATGATGGTCTGGCCGTTGGCCGGAGCACCGTCCGGGTGGGTATCGGCGTAGTAAACTTGGTGGTTGTTGACGGTGACGGTCGGCATGGTGTCTCTTCTGGAATGTGTCTCCAATGGATAGTGAAAGGTGAAAGGTGGGAATGTTGAGAGGGGAGATGCTTGCCGGAGATGATCGATCGGATATGCATCTAGCTCTGGTGGCCGACGTCATGTGCGGGGAGCTGTGGCCTCAACATTTTGGCCTCTCTTTCCACCACGACTTTTCTGTTCCGATATCCATCTTCCTCACTGCATCCGCTGCATGCCAATACAGCTTACCATCATTCACCCTATTCACTCACCGTGCTGAATCCGTCGGATCGAAGGTTTCGTGGCGGGGAGGCGAGCCGCCAGCTTATCACCGCCCGAGCCGACGAGGGGCGCCGCTATCCGACAGGCGGATCGCCTTCGGGTCGGAAGCGCTTTGTTTATCTGCCATATACTATAAAAGTATTTGCTCGGATCACACGGCATCCAGCGCAACCAGTGCTTGTTCGAATTCCTCGTCTATATCGAATTCGTAACCGAATTCTTCGAGGAGGAGTGCCGTGTCATCTTGGAATGAGTCGGCAGCTGAGTGGTTCTCTGGCTGAGCGTGGTTCTCCGGCTGCGGCTTATCCTGCGGTGCACCTTGATCTGGCGCAGTAGTATTCCCCGTCTCTTTGATGATATCCTCATCATAAAAGATAGAACAACAATCAGAGAACTCATCCTCCTCTTTAGCCTGAACCTGCTGTTCATCCTCACTCTCACCCAGATCGCAACTCGTAGCCTCATCCCTATGATCCTCGCCCTCACCCTCCTCCCCCTCATCCTCAGTATCCAAATCCAAATCCAAATCCGCCTCAGCAGCATCAACAACCGCCTCCAAATCCTCCAAAAGATCCTCATCCACCTCCGTATCCCCTCCCTCATCTACTTCTGTATCCCCACCTCCACTATTACTTTCCCCCTCCTCCCCATCCCTCTTCTTAATAAATTTGAACAATAAAGGCTGACTCGAAGGCGGCGCGGGCGCATTCGGATCCGGCAATCCCATGCGCCCCAATCTCCTGCGTTCCTCTCTATCGCGCGCTTCTTTCTCCGCTTTCTTCTTCTTATTCGCGACTCGTTTCTTCTCCTTATCGCGGAGTTGCTGGGCGCGTTTCTCGCGCTCTTGTTCACGCTCGATGCGCGCGATCTGCGATGCGGTGAACTGGAAGCGCTTGTTGCTGCGCTGGTAGCGGCGGCGCACGGTGCGGGACTTTTCGAGGATGATGCGCTTGCTTGGGGAGGGCATTTTGAGGGATGGTCGGGAAGTAGGAAGACATTTGAGGATGAGGAGGCATGTCTCGCTGCAGAGGGAGGGAGGTTATTGTGGAGAGGCCATGCGTGTGTGATGGTGTATGAATGTGTTGTTGATTATAGTTTGGATGTACTCCGTAGTTGGGGTGGAATGCGGAAGGAGGCCGCGACGGGGATATGTTGTGCCGAGATTGGCTTCCTATCACCGCTTGTTTACTCCGAATCAACTAACTGTCTTGTTTATTGTTGTCTGCTTTGTTTCTATTCACTATTGTCTTGTTCAGTTCATTCTAATCTACCTTCTATTGACAGTGACTAACTCTTCTTCCAGCAGATCTACTTATTTACAACTTCGAATCCCTCGCCGGATCCCAACTAACCGGAGCATACTCCGTCGTCTGCAACTCCTCCATATCCTCCGCGGACAACTCGAAATCAAACACCTGCGAATTCTCTACGATCCTCGACTCAGTCACCGATTTAGGCAGCGGCACATATCCCTACACCTCGTTAGCATCGCATCTCTCCAACCACCCCGCCTCATCCCCCATAAAAGGAAAAAGAAGGAAGAGGACGAACCTTCTGCAAACTCCACCTCACCAAAACCTGCGCCTCACTCTTCCCATACTTCGCCGCCAACTTCCTCAACACCGGCTCCTGCATCCTCTTTGCCTGCACAAGCGGCGCATACGCCTCAACCACAACCCCCCTTGCTCTCAGCCAACCCACAATATCCTCCCGCGCACACCACGGATGAATCTCATACTGCCCGACGGAAATCTCTCCTCCCCCGCCGCTCCGAATATACTCTTCCAGCTCTTCTAGATGCCGGATGCCGTAGTTCGATACACCTAAGGAGCGGATCTTCCCTGCTGCTTGGGCTTCGACGAGTGCGCGCCACGCACCGAGGCGGCCGCTGCGGCCGCCGTAGGGGGCGTGGAGGAGCATGCTACATTTCCCCCCATTACTGTTAGTATCTAAACCGTAGGTTCGTAGAGAAAGTTTGGAAATAGACGTACAGATCAATATACCCCAATCCCTTGGCAGCAGCTAGACTAGTCTCGATCGCTTCTTTGGCTTTCTCGTAGGACATGTGCGTGGTGGGGATCTTGGTCGTGTAGAAGATTTGGGAACGCGGGATATTGGAGCGTTGAATAGCGAGGGCGCATTCAGCTTCATTGTTGTAGAGTTGGGCGCTGTCGATCTATCGTTCCCCAATTGGCTTTTGTTAGTTGGGTTGTAGATTAAGAGGGGGTGGTTGTGGTGTGGTGTGCGTACATGACGGTATCCGAGTTCCAATGCTTTGAGGGTGACGGATTCGGTGACGTCGGGGGGACTGTTGATAGTATGATTTTAAGTGAGGAGATGGTCCTGAGTGGGTAAGTGTGATAGATGGGTTGGAACGCACGTTTTATAGACCTATACAAAACACGCGCTTATTAGTAGACGATATCATATAGACAAAAATGAAGGTATACTCACACCATATCCAAGAACGGGGATCTCGTACCCCGAGAGCATTTTCTTGGTTGATTGTAGCGAGAGAGACATTTTGATCTGTAGCCCTTGGATCTAGTGATCTTACAGAGAGAGGTGTGTAAAGGTAGAAGAAGCTGCTAATTGATCAACATGGAGAGATACGAGACTAATTTATATCTGCCGCCCTCGCCGCCGGGAGCACAAGGTTCCCTCGACCCGAGAAACTGAACGAACTATTATTAAAGTAATGCCGCTCATCCCGCCCCACGTCGATCGAGAACAGAAAGGCATGGGGGTTCAAGTAAATTAGTTGAGCCGAGATGAGAGCTCGGGTTTAGAGGGTCCGGTGTGGTGTGCTAAATTCTAATCTTCGTAATTTTATCTGATTATATATGTCCCGGATAATTTATATCTGTGGAGAGGGAGAGTCTCCAGACTCTCTGCTATAATGTTCATCGAATTGACATACCCACTATGATACATTAACCCACTACTAGTCAAAGGCATGGGATTATTATCTGATCATCTTATCTCCGACCAGGGCTTAGGTCTTAGGGTTCCTCCTCTTATCGATAAGCCTCGGTCGGATGACACACTCACTAGTCCGCTTTAGGATGGTCCCGCAGCTGGTCCTGGCCTGAGGCTACCGCAGCCAGTTCGGTCGTCATCATCCAGAGCCTGATTGGAAGGGGATCTATCCGTCGAGAAAATCACATACTTATACTCTATCCCCTTAGTGACTGGTGATACATATGGAAATACTGGTCTCCTCAGCTTATAATTAAAGGTCGAGGAACTAAGGGCATCTGCTACCACGCGAGGCTGTCTGTCCCAGTTATCAAAACATTACCCCGCCGTGCGAGGAACCTTGCTGCTCTACAGCCAAGATGCGTCTCGTCAAGAACAAGATCGAGCACAATGGATCCGGAACGGTGACCTTGTGTCCTGAGGAGCCTGAGGACATGGTGCGGTATACTCTGTTCCTGGTCGAGGGGTAGCTCTTTGTTTAACTAACGGCTTCAGTGGCACGCATACAACCTCATCCGACCGAACGATCTCCTCCGCGCCAGCGCTATTCGTCGTGTCACCACAACTCAAGAAACCGGTTCCACTACCTCAGCTCGAGTCCACTTGATGCTCGAGATCCGTGTCAAGAACCTCGACTTCGATCCGCAGAGCTCGCAGCTGCATGTTAGCGGGACTATTGTGAACGAGACGGCACATACGAAGATCGGACAGCACCATACACTTGATCTGGAGCTGAATCGGAATTTCACATTAGAAAAGGAAGTTGGCGCGGACGGCGAGGGCGTCGGATGGGACAGTATCGCGGTGCAGATGTTGAAGGATGCGGTGGATGAAGGGGGACAACGGAGGGCGGAGGCGGTGGCCGTGGTGATGCAGGAAGGGTTGGCGCATATTTGCTTTATCGGACAGTTTCAGACTATCCTAAAGCAGAAGATTGAGATGTCGGTGCCCAGGAAACGACATGGTGGGGGTGATCATGATAAGGTGGGTTGTACCATTATTGATAATCCATCCCGGTGTTGGGGTTAGTGGTTTGTATGCTGACAGGTCTTCGTGGGAAAAGGGCATGTCGAAATTCTTCCAGGTTACACTCGATACGCTGCTGCGCCAGCTTGAATTCAACACCAGCTCGGCTTCACTCACCAGCAGCGAGACCGTTCGGCCGGTTCTCCTTGCATCGCCAGGCTTCGTGGCCTCCGGCTTCCAAAAGTACATCCAGTCGCAGGCATCCACTTCGACGCCGGCGCTTAAACGCCTCCTACCCAGTATTGTGGTTGTACACTCTGCTTCCGGTTATCTGCACTCGTTAGCGGAAGTCCTGCAGTCCCCAGCTGTGAAAACCATTCTTGCCGACACCAAGTACGCGCGCGAGACAAAGCTCATGGACGACTTCCTCGACCAGCTCCGCAAAGAAACCAACAAAGCGACGTATGGTCCGCGCGAGGTTGAATTCGCTGTCGACCAGGGTGCCGTTGGCCGCGGTGGTGGCGTGCTGATCATCTCCAATCGGCTGTTCAGGTCACAGGACGTGGCGGAGCGCAAACGCTGGGTATCGCTGGTAGATCGGGTACGGGATGTCGAGGGTGGAGAGGTGCGAGTGCTCAGCTCCGACCATGAGAGTGGAAGGCGACTTGATGGGCTAGGAGGGGTGGCAGCCCTGTTGACGTTTCCTATATTGGATGAGGATATAGAAGGGGAGGGGGAGGTCGAGCAATAGAGCCTATGTTTTGGGTGTGCACAGCCCGGGCACCTGCTGCTACTCCCTTCCTCTCGTAAACCCTGATGCTGGGTGTCTAGCCCCGTAACGTTGAACGAATGCACGACCCTCATAGCTAGTGTGTCTAAGACACTTATCATTCAAGTACCCGGAGAAGGTCCGAACGGAATGAATGCAACGGCAAAGACGTGTACAACATTCAGCAAGTCCCCCGAGGAGGGGGGGGGAAGACAACAGCGACGCTAGAAGCGCAGTACCCATTCCTGGCGCTTGTTTCTGGAAATCCTGTGCTCCGCCATGCTGGCGCAGAACTAACGGCAGGATTCGACGGAATGCAATTCAATTAGATGCTAGCAGACGATCATGTTTTCATCGGTGTGCGCAAGATAACTGTGCCATGAACACTAGTCCTACACCCGAGGAGCCAAAGCAGGCGGTAAAACCAGCGCCATGGGAAGAAGTTGACAATCCCTGTTGCTGCGGCTGAAAGGTGCATGTACATGTACATGTACATGTGCATGGCATGGCATGGCAGAGCATGTCATTGCATTGGCCGGTAACACCAGGCTAAACTTAGCCGAGTAGTAGTTTTGTTACCGGGTCCAGACTGCTTGAGTCACTGACTGCATTCCTCCTAAAACACCACCAGTCAGGCAACCTGCTAGGCAACATGGATCTGTACGTAAGCGTGTGGAGGATCAGCCCGGCGGCTCTTTCATAGGGACCGAGGTCCTCCAGCTGTCGTGTGGCTTGGGGCTGCTGGCGGCTAAGAAGTGACCTCGTCAGATGCAGCCTATCTCCCACCCAAAGAGGCTAGCTGGTTCTCTAGTCGAGCTGATCTTCAGCCGTTAGATGACCAGAAAGTTTAATTGTGATCGCTTAGCAGCTGGGAAACTCCCTAGGGGCTGTACGACGCTGGCTTCGTCTCTTTGTCCGTCGCATTAGCGTCCAGAGAAGGCCCGTCCTTGATTGGCATTCTCGTTCACTCTCCCGATGTCGGGAGACGCTTCCTCGGAGTCCATGATTTGAGGTTCACGTTGCTCAAAAACGTCCAGCAATATGTCATTCGCATGCAATCGGTCACAGGGTATATCCAAGTAAACAAAGAAACTCATCCAGACGTAAACAATCATCCTTGCGTGTAATTTCCCCCCAACAAAAAGAAAGCCCCAAAGAAATCAATAATGCGCTTCATCATCCCTCCCAAAAAAAAAGTCAAAAAAGTACATTCCCAAAACAACCACAAATGCTACTTCGTACTACCACTGGCCACACTGGAGGCCAAATTTGACCATGATCGCTTTCGCGGTTGCTGAGGATCAGGTATTCGTGTCCGCGGACCAGTGCTACGCTCCCGGTTTTGTGCATCGAGGTATCGCAGTTGGGCTTCACATTGCTCTGGAGTGTATGGTCCCGCTCCGAACTCCTTCATCTAATTCGTAATCTAATTAGCAAGGTCCATTGGGTCAAAGTGGTCATAGGTACTCACCTTTTGTGCAATTACGTTGTATTTCTCATGCTCCCAGTACTCCCGCGCTCTTATGAGCAGTCGGATCTGGATGACTTGATCGTTAATTAGTTGACAATTTGCGACAGCTCGGGCGCACGTACTCACATCATTCTCATCCCACCGTGCCAACCGCTCCTTCCGTCGCCGCAACATGCGCATTTGCAGACGTGCCTCCGAGGCATCTTTGTGGAACTTGTTCCGGAACATCTCCCGGATTACTTTCCAGGCTAGATTCTGCTCCCGAAGCCGCTCCACAAATGCGTCTTCCTCCTCAGCTTGCGGGTCTCTCCTCCCCCGACCCGGAGCCCGGGGCCTTTGGCTGTTTTGAGCGTCGGTTGCCCCTTGTCGTCGCTCTTGCTCCATGCGCTGGAGCCCTTCAGGATTAGGTAGTATTGTAACCGGTGCTTCCCGGGGTGTGACTGCCTGCTTGGGTCCACGTCGGGCCCTTTTCGCGGGTGGCGGTTGAGGTGATAGGATGGCTTCGCTGAAGCCAAAGTCGGGTTCCTCTGATGTATGTCCCAAACCTGCTGTGACTGTACGGGGGAAACTGCTGGGAAAGGGTGCGGTGATGCCCAGGCCTTGTGGTGGGACAGACTCGGGAACGTTGTAGTGGAATTCTTGTGAATGATGACTGAGCACCGGGCTTGGTCTGAAGGAGCTATCCGGAAGGCTGATCGGAGTCAAGATGGCACCAGTCGGGAAAGCTGCTGCGGTGGTATAAGGATGGCTGACACCTGTATAAGGTGACTATATGCCGGACTGGTTAGCAATCGGCGATCCAATAACATCTGAGTACAACGTACAGTATCGAGTGCGGTCCACTGAGGCTGCATACTGGCATAGTACTCGTCGAGTCCATCTCCAGGATTGGAGCCGCCATGGCTGAACACCATTGGCGCCGAGTATCCAATGGGTGTCTGAGGATACATTGGGAAGGCCAACGTGCGGTTTCTCAGTTGCAAAGGATGCAGGGGCTTTTATTGTGGAATGAATGTAACGTGGATGAAACACGCAAGAGGGCAAACTGCCAGCAGTGACAAGGCGACTAATATAATAGATGATCAAACTGGGCGAATGAACGAGTAGAGTGATTAAGAAGGCTTCTTCAGAATGAGTCAGATAGAAAAGAATTATAGTTCTTCACAAGTCGTAATCGTCAGGCGAAGGGCAAAGATTGCTTTTGAAATGAAATGTGGAAGGATGGAGAGGAAAAAGTTTGATGGACGTGCGTGTGGGTTCATATACTCGAGTAGGAGATATCAACAAAAGACAAAATGCCTCGCAAGGCAGGCCAGAAGTGTGAAGCCTTTGGTGATCGGGCTTAGAGAGCTCTAGTGAACATGGTAGGTACCGCCCACTTTCACTGTGCCGCAAAAATTGAATCGCAATCAGAGGTGTAGGTATGACCAGACGCCTGCATTTAAGCGCCCGCTGATTCCAGGCGGATGGCTCCATTTTCTAGAGGGGCAGGGGAGGAGAGAGAAATAATTTCTCATCTCTTGACATGACATGAGAAGGGAGACAATCCAGCCCCCAAAACCCCCCGGGGCTCAGACTTTGCATTCCCAGGCCCACCCACGTTACTCAAGAGCAAGGCAGTACCTGCTGCGATCTTAGTTCCGATGTACTGGATCCCTGAAGTGGGCACTGTCGAATGGGTAATGCCATGGAAGAGTGACAAAAACCGATACTTTAGCGAACCGCCCAAGGTCCATATCAAATGGCACTCAGTGGGTTAGCGCTGGAGATGACAGTATTGCTAATGGTCAAGTTCAACGGAGAAAGCCTAGCGGATAAGGAAGTTCCGGGTAAAGGATAGGGAAAAACTTGAAAAGTATAATAACAAATAATTAAATGACTACAAATCCGTCAAAAAAAGCGTGAAAAATACGCCAGAAAGTCTCCGAACGGCAGATGAACGCATCGCCAGTTCCTAGCCGCTACGGGAGGTGGAGATGGAGGGTGAGAGCGGCCAAGAGAAGACGAATTGACAAGCTACTAGACGCAGCCCCAACAACGGTAGGTAATAAGCCAGGATTCTGGTGCTTTGTTAGCCGGACGCAACTAAATCCTGTTCGGAAAGCTGTGGAGGAAACACGGTCACCAGCAAAACCGGCGGAGAGCCATCAAGGAAGCTCTATGAGCAGGGGTAGTACGGAAAGATAGGCCATTAAGCGCTTCTCCGTCGCTGCGGCTGCAAATCCCGGTGGATCAGAACGGACTGGACTAGACTAGGCTGGCGGGCTTGTCTGACAGACATGGGGAGACATGCTTGTTGTGGTTTTGCGATCGGACTAGTGTAATCGCCCTACGGAGTCGAGCTGACCACCAAGTATGCCCGCCAGGCCCGTAATGAACGTCCATGATGTATGGTTTCTTCCCATTCAGTCCACTCATGCGCGGGTGCCGGGAAGGCTGTCCCCTGGATCCAGCAGGTTCTGATATGATCGGTCCGGTGCTCATCCTGCCGGCTACCTGCGTTCAACCAAAGCCACGTGTCCCCGAAAGGAAAGGTGAGTTACGCGCCAGACGAGATGAGGATGGATGGGGTAGTCCTCTCCAAGACCTGCGAGTTGCTTCAATGGACGTCCATCTCCAACCATTATTCCAGACCGGAGATTCCCGCCATGGCACTGGCGCCTAAGGAATCGCCGGTTTGCTCGGGGAGGCCGTCTTGTTCTGGAATTCGGTTAGTGCCTTTCGCGCCAGATTTTCATACTGGACTTCCTTTCGGCGTCCGCGAGGGATTTGGCCCTATGGAACGGCCTTCTGACCGGCGTGTCATCGAGGCCCCTCCTACTGTCGGTTTGCGCACATCACCGCCATGTGGATGATCTTCATTCTTTCAGCGAGTCGAACGATCGGGGCCCCCGGGGCGTATCCACGTGATGTCACTTGGTCTCTCAATTTCCCCTCAGGGTTAGTGGATGACACCTTGTCATCAATCATAGTTTTTCCCCTTCATGAACGAAGACGAGGACAAAACAGGCCCGTCCTCAGGCTCACGCGCTAACACTAGTAATGATCTATTTTGGACCGGGCGCGGATCTGATCAAGAGCAGGAGGATGTCGGTCAATGCCGGGTTTACCGAATGAGGGCAAGGTTGTCGCCTAGGCGTTTTCGGCCCTCAAAATGGCCCCTTCGTTCTTCCCTCTCGTCTTTCCCCCTTTACCTGGGTTCCTCTTCGATGGTCCAATGCCCACACGAGGAGATGTGGCTATGGGTAGGCGCAGCAATGGCTGGTTGCAGTCCTGAAACGATGGGGTCGTTTTCACCTGTGTTTCACCTATAGCCCCTCGTATGCTGGGGGATGATCTCATCTAGTAATCAACCCTGCCACTGAATCATGGATGATCTAACCGTCAGCAACGGTTGAATTGGCATTCAAAATGTCCGTGTCCTAATCTGGTTTGGACCCATTCTGCATTACTACATTTCCAAAAAGATATAATTTGAGATTGTGAAAACTTGATGACGTGAGAGAAATCCATGCAAACAAAGACCCGAGCAATAAAGAAACAGACCATGAAGGAAGCGAAAGGGGGAGAACGAGCCCTAGGGATGTATATAATGCCCCGAGGGCAGTTGAATCGTGTAACCAAAACCGGCTGATCTGCAGCAGGATTTCTATATATGGGGTTTAAGGGCAGATAGTTCATTCGTGACTGCCCGTTACCCCGGTTGACTGCTTCGGACGAACGCCCCCGTTCACAGGGTACCCGTTATTGTCCTCGTCGTCTTCTTCATCTTCTAAGAACCCTTCCAGACTCTCGTCTTGGCTTGTCCCACGATGGTTTCCTAGCGTATCGTCGGCCGAGACGGAGATCCCCATTGCTCCCCAGCGGTTGTTCCTGGGTCTACCGCCACCAGCAACTTCCTCATCCTCCACGTCCTCGTCGTTCAAATTCTGCTCCTCATCTGCACTCCTTCGCTGCCGGAAATTCAGTATCTTGCTCACTAGCCAGCTATGGCGGAAATCTTCCGAGTCAACGACACCGCCGTTTCGGAGCTTCACGCGTTGGCGGGAGTAGTAAACCCAGGCGAAATCGACGTAGAAAGCCGTCTGGATGACACCGTAGAGGTCTGCAATTACGTCCCAATGACCCTCAGAGCCCAGTCCCCGCACAAGCCAATTGAGAATATAGAAGGCACGGTAGGATCCCAGCATAAGCAGGTAGTATGAATCGATGACTGTCGGAACGGTCGTTTGGCGCAAGAGCAACAATTGAGGGAGAACACAGACGGACTCTAATATAATCGAGAAAGTCCAGCAAGTCTGCATATCATCACGGTTTGGTTAGCGACGTCTGCAGGCCAATGCGAGCCATCCCACTTACCTCCGTGAACCATCTATCGGGATAACCACGATAGAAGATGACAATAGATATAGGAGCCAGAACCAGAGATAGAGCGACCGATATTATAGCCATCTTCCAGGCTCGCTCCCTTTCCCGTGTCCGGGGAAATACTCTCATCATCAGGTATATAACGTAGAACGAGGAGATGATATAAAATAGCTTGAAGAATACGAGGTAGAAGTGCTTCCATCCTGCCTTCGAGAAAAGGTCGAGATAACGAGTCACGAACACCAAAGCATAGAGCATCTGCGTCAGAAGGGAGACTCCTATTATTTGAAACGATGCTTAGCTCGCAGCACACTGCAACAATGCAAGTTATTATACGGACCTTCTGCGCTCTTATTGCGATGGATAGCCCATATCAAGACACATTTGGAGGAGATATGGGAGAGATCGGCCAGTAGCCGGAAGATATTGAGGTTCAGCATGGTCAATAGTGTATATATAGAAAGCTTGACACGCAGCTTTCACTGTGGAATTGTCCTGCAACCCACTTCTAGAGTACCATCAAGATAGCCCAGTAAGTTCGCGAGAGATGGTCCTCAATGGTCCTCGTGTGGACCGTGCTCAGTTAATCAACCCAGAGACCCGGTCGGGTAACGTAGGTTGTCGGCCACTGTATGACAATGCGGTCAATGCGAGAGATTATGGAAATTGTAAGACCAAGCACACTGGTCTTAAAGAGGCTGAAGATGCCACGACAAGAGCTGATGTAGCAGTGATGAGCGGTCTAATTGTCATGGACCTGCACCGGCCGCGTCGACCTGTGAGCTTCCGCCTTATCTGGTCTCAACCAAGGGAGCTCACCGTCACCGACGGGATCCACCTGCACCTGGGGGCCCCGTGCCGCGTGTCCCTCACGTGACCATCGGCGTGTCACAGTATCTCTTCTTGGTGACGTCAGGACGCCCTGTCCACCTTCTATCTCCGGTCTTCTTTCAATAGGGCAATGGTAGAAGATGTTGCTGGTCTGAAAATAAGCATTCCATGCTATGCCCTAGTACTCAAGAGCTTTTCATAAAACTTCTCGACAATCAGCGAACCACCTAACAAAGTGGTATCGAACAGCGCCGGGGAGCCTCACAGCTGTCAAGAGTCAACCCTGCTTCTACCATAGCAAAGTCTCCTGTAAACAATTATGGGCAGAGAACAGGTTAGAGAATACAAACTAGATCTTTCTGATTAACTTCAGGCTACTACAGACCCCTTCCTGACGTTGAATCTGCCATCAACTGTGTAATCCACTTTGAATGCTTGCCATGGACGCTGTGGGTTGGTTAGTAAAAACTCTCTATCCTCTTTTCGTCATGCTCTCTAAAGCCCACAGCCGCCGAGTGCAAGTGCCATCAAAGCTAAAGTGGGTTTAAGCGCATGGTACTAGCTCGGTGGTAGATGGTCTCGACAGACCGTTGCGCCAACCTGATCGCACCAAATTCGACACCGATGTGTAGATATTGTTGCATCCCTACAAATTCAGTTGCCGTCTCATCCCAAGTAGCTAGTAGACCAAGACTTGTGGATTAGTTGCTAACGCGGCAGTAGTAGCTCGAGGCTACTCCATTCGCGCGCTGCGTATGCATGGGAAACAAGAGTGGGGTAAAGGTGCCACCGCGTCTGGAGTAGAACGCTGCGATTGCCATCTCGGAAACTTCTGAGCCCTAGAATCATTGATGGTAGGGGCTTGTGCTTTCTATACAGTTCGATGGCGCTAAACTCGCAAAACAGAGCACCAAGTGCGTGAAGAGGATGAGAGAATTGGGGCAAGCAAAAAAAAAAGGAAGATCATGTCGACGGGTATATTGGCGAAGGTTCTCTCTTAGAGAGCACCATATTATATCGCAATCTTGAGTCGGATACAACAGCTAGTAAAGCCCGAGTGGTGTAATCGAACGCTGGTTTTGTCCCTCCTTTGCTTTGTCGTCTAACTTCATTTTTTAGCTCACATGCAATTCAGAGGAACGGCTGGCTATTCGCTAGAGCATCTCAGTACTCGCTCTTGTGGGTTTTTCAGATCCAGTGAAAGGCACACCTAGTAATGAACATAGTAGATTACGCACCAGTTTGTGCTCCTAAGCTTCAGAGTGGTTTGACCCATGCTGGCTGTAGATGATTCCTTGATTCTAGCTTGTGCGTCGGGACACCTTGCTTGTCTCATCCATACTTCTAGGAGAGACACTGAAGATTCTAAGAAGGAATATGGGCAGAATGTTGAGATAGCTGAATCAAGATTGTAGATTGTGTATAGTAATGGTCGAAGTTAGTTATGAGCAGCAATTCTGCCGCCAAATATCGGCCTTGTATGGGTCTGCGAGCTGAATCTTTGAACTCACATCTTCTGAAAAAGGCCCAGTAACATCATGCTTTTCAAGGACATCCAGCTAAAATCGTGATCTCGTTGAATACTAGAACTATGGTCCCCTGACTCACTGAGAATATTCTATGAGAGGAACGCATCGCAAGTCCAATACCCCTGCTGCTATAGCCGCTAAAGATAGGGAGATTGTGCCAGTAATTGGCTTAATGCATATCATAACGGTTTAAGGGAAAGAGGGAGATAATATCATTAGTTGGGTGCTTGATTAGGTGGAGATATATGGTAGAAATGAAGAGGAGAGGGGTGTCAGATATCAGTTCACATCCACCAAGTGGCCTCTCAGGTAGATGTTGGCCCCCTTTGCAGCACTTGTAGGTAGCTCCCGGTTTAGTCAATCATCTCAGTGGAAGTTACTTCGGGACGTATAGTATGGTACCTTACGTGGGCGTTTGAGCATCAAAAGTTTCAGAACTTCGGGATGTAGTATATAATAAGAACGAACAGTAACAGTATTTAGTAGCTCAATGCCATGTACTCAAGCTTATAAGCCTACTTGAATGCAGGCAGGTCATGTTTTCCCCGTCGTCGAAAGAATGCCTGTCCCAAGTGACCTTCGAAGCAAAAGCTAGTACCGATTTCCTTGCAATAGAGGATTTGCAACATCGTTACTTCGAGCGTAGGCACCCCATTAGACCATTTCAGGCAAGAAGCTTGCATATAATGTATCGTAACATGACTCCAGTGTATTGACTCTGAAACGAACCTTCGGCTAATAAATCACCTAAGTTTAAACAAAGCTCTGTTCGCCAGATGGAGGTAACTGAAACCTAAGAATATAAAGTTGAGCATGCGCCACATTGCCTTGATTCGTGACCCACTTCTTTTTCTGCCTAGTTAAAGGGTAATCCTCTTCTAGAAAAGTTCTCCTTGCGAGCGCTAAATGCATTAAAGGTACTACCCTAAATAGGCTCTTTCGCCGACCAAGATAGGGTCATCGAAAAGGTTTCTCCATCTCGAGATCTCAGTAACGTGCTTGAACCTGGGAATCCCACTACAGGATTCGTTCCAAGTGAGTAGCTCAAAGAAATGAGGCGGGATTAATAGTATTCTAAGAGCTGCCCACACTCGAACAATGACAACCTTGTACATACCTGCACAATGACATACTCTGATGCTGTGATCCACCACGTGTACGCCATCGCCATCAGCCAATTCAGTCCTACAGCCTAGTTATTGCGTATTATATGTTAGAGCCACTGAGACAAGCTATTCCAGCCTGGTAAGTAGTTGCATTGTTCGACTGCAAACCGAATGTCGGTTATGATTCCCTCCCTTCAATTGCATACGCCACTCCTTTAGCAGTCTGTTGTACATGGAGCTTCAACTGGTACTACAGCGATCGCTGGATACAGTACTCGCCCAAAGAGGAAGCCCATCGACATTCAGCCTGCAAGGTAAAGGATAGCGGGAATAGCGGACAGGACAGTAAGCCCTGTCATCGGAACGATAGGCGCACCGGGGGGACCGTGCTCGGAACGGACTCTCAGAGTTCCATAAAACGGTTCACGGGCCTATCTAGAACCTTTCAAACCAGCCTAGGAGGGTACAGATAAGGTGCTTGGGAGCGCGTGTAGAATGAACGAGAGAAGCTGTTTCTAGGGGGGCAAGCAGCCTACCTGACAAGTTACCTGGATCGATTTGAATTTGAAGAGAAACCGATCTTGCATCATGGGCCCCGCAAAGCCCTGCACTCATCATATGAAGCGGGAAGGGTGGACTAGACTAAAAGCAACGGTCGATGGGGAAAGGAGGAGGTAGCGGTCCTTTACCCCGCTCTCATTGTCTCCCATCAGGCCATTTCATTGGGAGGAAAAGTGAACCTGGCACCCACGTAAACAGCAAAGATCAGGATCCATGGTCCCTCGAGGTTTGCTTTTTACTTCATCTCTGGACTGCCAAGGCCCGAGATTTGCAGCTGGCGGCGCCCGTTTCATGTTGTAAGCTGCCTCGCGATCATCGGGATGTCTGGACCCCCTCATTGGCCTTGCCAACCTGCTTGGTTCTACTAAACACTGCAGCAGCACCAGGTTGACCTGGTCAAGCTGTCCAAAGACGGTGGGTTCTATGGTCAGATTGCCGCCACCACCATCATCGCTGTTCGTTTTGTTCACGGAACGGGCATTCTTGCCTGGATCCGTGGCTGACCAAGTGTTGAAGCTGGCTTCTAGAGATGGAGGCCTAATATGACTATGAAAAATCAACCTTGAGTCACCGGTCGGAAGAAAATGGGGAGACGGGAAAGCTCATCGTAGGTGTGAATACAAGGATAGGGTATCAGTAGAAGGACGCTGGGGGGAATGTCTCATCTGGCTGGCGTCGTCGGAACATGGGTGTGATGGTGGCGGTGATGGTGATTGATCCAAAGTGTCAAGTGTATGTATCGCATTGACCCAGGAGGGGATGAGGGGAAGATAATCTAGATAATCGGTGGAGGCCCTCGGCCTACGCAAAGGCGAAGAAGTAGAAGAAACGAAACCACCGGGTCATCCTTCCATCCAGGCAAATTTCTTTTTTAGGAAAAAGACGGGCCTATCGTGGATGGTGTGCAGAAGTGGTCCATGTACGAGAGTCGACCGTCTCCAGTAGTTCCGGTGGGCAGGACGAGTAGGAAGCCGGAGGAGGTGGCAGGAATGAATCTGATGCCTCGTCGCTGCTGAGGAGGAAAAAGCAAGCAGGCCTCGGAGGACGCGGGATTGGCGAGACGCTGCACTCCGTTTAGCCTTGGGGTGGATTCGAATCGAATTGTCTGTCTGTTCCCCCTCCCCTCCGCAGTACTAGTCAGAGGATTGAGTAAGGAAGAGGCTTTTGCGAGATTCTGTCGGTTTTCCCATCCGCTTCTCTCTCTTCCTTTTCCCTCTTGTTCCTCTTTCCCGGATCCTTTCCCTCTTGCCACTCCGGAGGTTCCCTTAGTCTTGTACTATCATTATATTATCCATTTCCATTTGTTCTTATTTACGGAAACTGGTAAACTGTAAATCAGAACCCAAAGTATTACCTACGGTGGATTTTCTGCCCTACTTGGAGACCTTACCTACTACTACTGACTGACTGACCGAGTGGTTGTTGCTCTTACTACGACCACTGCACCGACTGACTACTTTTTTTATCGGACAATCCAATTCAGTCTACTTCCTTACTACTTGGCTATCACTACTACTACCACTACTACTATTGCCTCACCGGCGGACAGACTGAACTGATCCTCTGAACTGACCCTTACTGACTTTGACCTGCCAATTCGATCCTGATCTGATCTACTCCCTCCCACTTACTACGACCACCACTACTTCGTTACTACTATTGCTACTACTACTACTACTACTACTACTACTACTACTACTACTACTACCACCACCACCACCGCCACTACCAGATCATCCTGCCTATCAGAAAAAACCCGAGACTCTTCTTCGAACCATGAACTTTGACCAGTAAGCCTCTCTTTACACTCTCAGTCGGTCTCCATCTCCACTTGTCCTGACCAGAACGTCTTATCATCGCATCTCCAGTACTCCGTACTATGTCCAGCCTCTGTATCCTAAGATGCTAGAAAGGTCTTCCTGTGACTGTGCCTAAGCCTGTTTATACTTACTATCTTTTCCCCTCTCCTTCCCCCTCTCCCCTTCCCCTCCCCTCACCCTTCACAGCCTCCTCATCGCCCATTCACCTGAGTTACCTCACTCTCCCCCTCCGTCTCTCTCTCTTTGTCCCTTGACTTTCCTCGCAACCATTCCGACTTCATATATGCATGTAACAATCCTTCCGACTCTTTCCTTCTTTTCCCGTCATCTACCTCATTTCCCTGCGGCGCTACTGCCACGCCGTATGATGCGCCGGTGTCATCGTCACTTTGGTGTAACCAGGCGCTCGCTTCCCTGAACCTGACCGGCCAATCTCCACGGAGCGTTCCTTGAGTAGCAGATTTGCTAATCTCATAAGCATGTGTATCTACAGATGAATCGACGGAACGTGATTGGGATAACTGCGTATCATCAGCCATGTCGTAAGTCCCCCCTCGTCCTCCCCAACCCGAAGGTGAAGCTGGCCTCTGGGACTGCGCAGCGTCGGCAGCAGCTGTCCTTCCATATATACTTGGTCTTGAGATACCTCGCGCCCACCCCCCTCAGGTCATGTGCTTGACTTGGAGTGTTTCTCTTGTAATTTACTTACTATGCCTTTGTATCCGTTCCCTCTTTCGGCTATCTTACAGTCCTGTCCGTTCCCTCCACTTGCGATTGACAAAGTGACTGGCTCGTTCTATTATTATTGACATTATCGTTCTGGCCTTGCATTCACTTCTACTTTATCTCCCCCTTCCTTTTTTTTGATTATTTTTCTCGTGTCTTGGGCTCATCTCTGACACTGGCGCCTTTGGCTTGTCCCTCTACAACAGGTCCCCTCCAACATCTAAGCGAATCAAGACTTCCATCTCTGCCAACGCGCCATCACACCTGATAGCTCAACAGCAAGTCAATCCCTTTTCAAGAGTGCCTTCTTTTGAGGGCATTCCTATGCCCCAAACTCAGATTCCTCCCCAAAATCCGCGCAAACGCCGTGCTTCCCCCCAGTCAAGCTCTGCGGCTACCATGGCGGCGCCAGGCGCGGCTCCGGCAACTGGAGAAACCGCGCACGAGCAAGGGCCTGGGGGATCAGAGCCTGCCCCCAAGAAGAAGGGGAGGACCAACACTCCTTGGACTGCTGAGGAAGAGCAGAGGCTGAAGACTATGCGCGATGCGGGTCGCACCTGGAGCGAGATTGCCAAGGTCCATAAAGCGCCCCTGCTTCAATACCCTCCACTACGTCACGCATGCTGACCTGAAATTCCCGGGTGCTACAGACATTCCCTACCCGGACCGAAGGTAGCGTCAAGAAGCATTGGTACAAGGTAAGCAGATCCTAGTCGCTCTTTGTCCGAAGACAGGAGAAGATACTTAAGCCACGACAGGACATGCACTATGCCGAATTTGCTGAAGATGAGGTAACGACCCTTGGCATACGACTTTTTTTTTTTTTTTTTTTTTTGTCAAGCGATGCTAAAAGGAAGGACAGTCCGTAGCACTCCGAGAAGCGATTAGGGAATACGATGCGAATAAATGGAAGGCGATTGGACTGAAAGTTGGAAAGCCAGCCAAGGTAACATCTCCGGGCCCTGTAGATGCCTTGCTGAGTTGTTGACATGAGTGAATCAGGCGTGCGAACAGTATGCAAAAGAACATTTCAAGGATCTTTAGATTTCTTACGAACTATTGACGACGTGATGACCAATGCATCGTCTTCCGCACATTTAACGAATCGACGATGGGCATGAGTTTTGGATTCACATTGCTTTAGGCTGAAGATCTCAAGGCAGTGTTCGATGTTAGCCACAATTTGCAAAGTATCGGGCGAAGGGTTATCGGAGTTGGCTTGCGTCTTTCGTTTTACTTTCTGCTGGTCCCGTTTGGTCGACTATTTCCCACCTCTTCTTTTTACAAGCGCCTTTCCTGGTTACTTCGTCTTGTTCCTCGTCCCCTCATATCCTGGGTGAATACCACTGTTCGTTTCGCGTAACTCCTTGACGGGTCTTTGCAGCAGCTTTTCGCCGCGGAAGGGACAGCGTACCCTGGACAGAAATTCTGTCGCGCACCCAACAACACGTTGAAGCTTGCTGTAAGGTTTTCAATTTTTTCTATAGAAAGGAATCTAGTAGAAGCTTTCTCTCGGTGTCCGGCACTGAGTGGTCACCACCATGATGAGCTGTTGCTGATGTTGTACTTATATTTCCGTAGGTGACCGAGGTAGTAAGCATTTTATGCTACTAGCTGCTAGTTGCTTAACATTTAGCCGACACAAGCCGAGTAGGGCGAGTGGGAGTGGGGAGTAGGTGTAATCGTGGGATAGATAGCAGTACTATATCCGAAGTCGGGGAAGATGAGAAGCGGAGGGGATCCGCCCGCCTGAAAACCGAATCTCCCCGCGGCAGATTACGATTTTATCGCCTCAAGAGTGGAATCTTCTACCCGCTCCACTTACACTCGCCGGAACTACAATCGTTCCATCTCCCTGTCAGATTACTGGCTAGCATTCTGCACGACTGCAATTGGTGTGGGATATCTGCATAGCATTGATCAAAAACTGGTATTTCCTTTCGAGAAAAGAAAAATAAACGAGACTCATTACGATCTCTCAAAACTGTTAGAGAGGAATTTTGACTGACGTGCGATTGGCGTATGTGTTCCACCAGGTGTAATCGCCACGACGAATCCAGTGCCTTCGCAACAAGTACAGCTCTCCCGCCTTCCTACAGAAACCTTATGCAAGGGACGGCTATCATGAAGACGAGTAGCGTGGTTTTGTCTGTCGATCAAGGTATCTAGGTAGCGTGCCTGCATGAAGACCGGTGTTCAACAACTGGATGTCACACACACTATCCGGACTAATATCACCCTCATTCATCATGTGGAGAGATGCTTAAACTCACCGGATACTGTGATGACTCCCGTTTGTTGTTCTGAGATCATACGGTTGAACTTGATCTGGATAATTCCAGCGAAAGGACTCATGCGCGCTTTTCTTTTCTTCATACCCCACCTCTTCCCCGGTCATATAACTGACATTGTGCATCAGGATGTCTTCGCCGCAAACTGTCCCCACCCTAGGGTCTCCCTATGAGAAGGAAATCTCAAGGATCCGTTCGACAGAAGATACTTCTCCTCCCACCGAAAATGCCGAGAAAAGAGCCCAGAGGCAGCCCGGTGGGCCGTTTGCCTCTTCGAGAATGGCTGCATATCTTAGACGATTCGAACAGCAGCTCGTCGAATATAATCTGGAAGCCCGTGGCATAGAGCGGGTGCAAGAGCATGAACGGATGTCCAAGTTGACTTGGGTTTCTTACATGCAGGCTTTCTTGCTTTGGGTCTCGATCAACTTGGCGGCCAACAACATCACACTGGGTATGCTGGGACCTGCTACATACGGACTGAGCTTCCTTGACTCGGCTCTATGCGGAGTGTTCGGTGCTTTAGTCGGTGCCATAGTTTCTTCGTGGATGGCCACATGGGGCCCTATATCCGGTATTCGGACTATGGTATGCTATCACACTTCCCTTAGAAAAAGCTGGCTGAGTACTAATATTCTCAGGCATTCGGACGCTATTCAATGGGATGGTGGCCCAGCAAACTCATCGTCATCTTGAACCTGATCCAAATGCTGGGATATGGCTTGATCGACTGCGTGGTTGGCGGGCAGATCTTGTCCGCCGTTTCACCACATGGACACATGACGGTTGCTGTGGGTAAGTTGGTAGTGTTTCGAGCTGGTATTGTACGGTTATTGATGAAGAGAAGGCATCGTGATCATCGCCATCATCAGTTGGGTCATAGCCACTTTCGGCATTCAAATCTTCCATTACTACGAGCGGTATGTGTGACTGACCAAGGTTTCTAAATTTTGCTACTGACGGTACCAGATTTGCCTTTCTCCCCCAGCTTATCGTTGTTTGCATACTGTTCGGTATGTCGGGGACGAAATATGACTTGTCCACACCATCCACTGGCGACGCTCGCACAGTAGCCGGAAACCGGTAAGTCCACTTCAGGTCATTTAATAAACTCATACTCACATGTCACCCACTCGCAGTCTGTCCTTCTTCTCGCTTTGTCTCAGTGCCGCAATTACATATGCACCTCTTGCGGCAGACTTCTTCGTCTATTATCCTCAGAATACCTCGAGGACATCTCTCTTTTTCCTCTCCTTGGGCGGCCTAATGACCTCTTTCACCATGGCATTCCTCGTCGGCATCGGTCTCGCATCGGGCATCACCTCGGACCCAGCGTACAGCAAAGCATTCGCCGACGGTGCCGGAGCACTTATCGTCGAAGGGTTCAGCCCTCTTAATGGATTTGGCAAGTTTTGCGCCGTAGTCGTTGCACTCGGTCTTATCGCCAACACCATCCCACCCACGTACTCGGCTGGCGTAGATTTCCAGATCCTCGGAAGATACGCCGAAAAGGTGCCCAGAGCCATTTGGAACGCCATCGGAGTGATCATCTACACTGTGTGCGCCCTAGCGGGCCGAAGCAATCTTTCCGACATCTTCACCAACTTCCTCGCGCTCATGGGCTACTGGGTCGCCATCTGGATAGCCATTATCCTAGAAGACCGCTTTATCTTCCGCGCCCGCAGCGGATACAACTGGCATTCCTGGAACGACCCGTCGAAGCTGCCCTTGGGCATTTCCGCTTTCATTGCCTTCTTGATCGGTTGGGCAGGCGCGATCCTATGCATGGCGCAGGTGTGGTATATCGGGCCTTTGGCACGATTGGTGGGTGAATATGGCGCCGATGTAAGCAGACCCGATGACATGACAAACAAATATTTGATTGCTTCACACACTAACTAAACAAATATAGATGGGCACCTACGTTGCTTTTTCATGGACGTGTGTGGTCTATCCGCCTCTCCGATATGTCGAACTCCGCTACTTTGGACGGTGAGGTGGCGGCAATGGCGCAATGCCATTGGGCTTAAAAGAGCACTACTATTCAATTCAACATTGCAAACTGCTCTATATATGAGTCATTGGCCTTGTAGAGTATATTCAGACTGATCATGTACTATATGATCGTACTACTATGTTGATCAATAGACATCATTGTCTTTCAAAACAAAAGAATTGTACATCAAATTGAACTAGTACCTCGAAAAATCTATTCTATCATCACTGTCCTCTAATAAACATAGAAGTAACCAATCATTCATCACCATCATCATCATCATCATCATCCTAATCTCCAAGGAACACTTACACACCAACTAACCAATACCTTCACCTCATTTACTAAATCCCAAGAATGAACCAATGAGTAGTAGTACCCCTAACACCGCCTACTTTCTCACCTACCTACCTACCGATATAGGCAAAAAGGATTCCTGGGCAGCCTAACACGTTAGTTTCTATATACCACGTGATACGGCTAATATTTCCTTCCTTCCTTCCGTTAGTTTCCGCTGTTCCGGACATCATGCCACCCAGCCTACCCAATTCGCACAGTTAGTTGACTAGACTAGACTATCAGTCGCTTGATCAGCTCACTTCACCGTACCATAATCTAGGTATGTTTTTCTTTCAAGCCACGGTTACTAGTATGTACTTACTAGATTTGTCGGTCTGTCTTATGAGACTACCTAGTAGTAGCAGTACTTGTAGTAGGTAGGATAGTTTAGTTTAGTGTTGTGTAGGAGTAGTAGTACTTGATAGGATATATCATGTACTTGCAACTGTTATATCATCCGAGTTTGAGGTGATATAAGTCTCGTTGGTAGATCTACAGTAACTCAGAAGAAGAACACTAAAAAGAAAGAAAAACGGAATTGGCGAAAGTATACAACGGTATTGGTTTCAAACGATACACACACACACAACACAACACAACTAATAGTTCATCCCGATGAAATCTTGTACAGAATCTGACACCCTATCTCTATCTCTCTCACTCTTTTGTGACTGTCTTGCCAGAACACACCCTGTCTCACGCATGTACACAATACAGATTATATGTCGGATTGTCTTTTCCTTTTGGTATCTCGCTTCACTCCAATTGTTTCTCTTTGCTCCGAATCGAAGAAGTAGCACCTAAGTAGGGAAGTGGGAAAAAAAGAAAAAGGACAATCGCTCCATTCATTGTAGTAGTACATTGTATTTACCGGTACCAGTACTCAGGCTTGACGAAGTCGGCGAAGGTCTTGGGCTCCTCATGGGGAGGGTGGCCGTGACCGTGGTCGTGGTCGTCTGGACAGAGAGCAATTAGTACACCGCACACCGAATGATAGCCATCAACTGGGGCTGAATTGAAAGGGAAGTTACTTACGAGCGTGGGGGTCCTCCAAGGGGCCGACGTAGTTCAGCTTGACAACGTTACCGCACTCGCCGCAGCGCTCGATGGGGCGGTCACGGGAGACCTGTATTGTGGCTTGATTAGGGATCATGCTATCACAGGAGGTAAACAGCACGGAAGAATTCGGCTTACAGTCAGCCAGTTGACCTGGTGAGAGTCGGCGGGGAAACCGGTGCAACCAGCGTACTGCTCGTCACCAGCACCGTTGACGATGATGGGGTTCTCGAGGGTTCCTATAAAACATTATATCAGCTCCCACCCGCGCGAGTCATCTATTCAAGACTCCGGTAGACACCGCACAGAGCGGAATAGCGTATGACATACCCTTGCGGGAGGCATCGAGGGGACGCATGTCGAAGATATCAATGCCCTGCATCTTTCCAACGAGTTCGAGACGCTCGAGACCAGTGGCGTGCTCGATATCGGCGGGAACGGTACCGGACTTAGCACCCGGGGGGATGAGGTCTTCCTCGGTCTTGATCTCTGTTCAGGAAAAAAGCGCACAATCAGTATGATGTCAACCATATATCAAGGCATCGAGAGGATGCAAGTAGCCGGCTATCAAATGTCCCCAGCGCCCGAAACCCCGCATAAGATGCCCAATTGCAATGTTCACTCGCCGTACGAGTCGCAATTGCTATCTTGCACGTGTATCCGTAGGGATAATTGACGCTTCATGTAGGAGTGGATGTGAGGCCACTCACCATCGAAAGAAAGGATCTTGCCCTCCTGCTTCACCTCATACTTCTTGCTGTTGACTATAGGAGCAGCAATGGCATGTTAGCTCGTATATCCAGATCAGACATCCACATTCCCGTGCAATTGGCACATATAGAAGCCATGGCAGCGCGGTAGAGAAGGGATGGCTGCCACTGCTGGGGTGCAGAAGAGGCGGTCTTTTGATCTGACGATGAGGGTCACGTACAGCGGGTGACGGAGGAAGAAAAGGGACGGGCAGCGAGAGCCCGGGTAGGGGTGCGCCTGGCGAGGGCGAAGGCTGTGCGTTGGAGGAACATTGTCCTGGTGGGTGGGTTGCAATGACGGCAGACAAGGCAAGGACGTTTGGAGATGAGGGAGTTTGGAGGTTGAGGTGAGTTTGAAGCCGCTTCGGCCCGTGGTCGCCTGCCCTTAGTCAGCGCCGGGGATTGATTGGTTGCGGAGCTTCTCCGGCTGCCCGCAGTGACCTGGTCCGCAGACCTACTCGATTGGGTGTCCGGCTTAGGGCTTAGGGTCTATAATCTGCTCCAGTGGTCTTCTGCGGTCTGCCGTAGATAAGGAACACATGCCCCGGCCGAGCAATGGCCGCGTTCAGCCCGGGATCAGCCGGTGCTAAACTGCGAGAGCGGACGCTAGTGTCGGTTCATTGCGAACGAACAAATGCCGGCGCCATATGTTCCCCCGGGCTAAAATGAATTATCATACATCACTTAATACCTTACATCAACCCGTCCCTATAGTGACTCAGAGTTATGCTGATCATCCTCCCGTGCCTACAACAAGCCTGCACCACCAGCCCTATCGGAGACCCGACATTTGAACCAATATGGAGAGTAAGGAGATCAGAGGGTCCAAGCAGGGCCGAATCTGGCGACAGTAGATATAAATATGAAAATTCCCCAACGCTTTTACTCATGGAGCTGCATGGCTTTCTCGCGGCAAGCAGCTGGGGTGAAGCCATTTCCAACCTTCCCTGCAATGATGCGCCACCGATCGTTCTCGTACTCGTGCATTGCCCGCTGCAGCCTTTGTACCTATTCCCTTCATTAGCATGTGTGAGACAGGCGTAGAAATACATCAGGAGCAAATCGAACCATTTCGTCACTCCAAGCTACATCCTTAGCCTTCAGCTTGGTGCAGTATCGGACTTGCAAGGTACCGCTCGTTCGGCCCGGGAAGAAGTCTGCAATTTGCTTCCACGTCAAGTTCTTGTTTTCCTTCAACTACACCAGTAGAGCGTCCTCTTCGGGAGTAAACTTCAGTTTTGGTCCTCGAGGCCTGGGGGCTGGATCAGGCATTCCAGGCTGGCCCACCACACTCGGCGGGCCCGAGGGCAAAGGAGGAGATTCCACATTCACTCCATGACGCCCTGGGGCGCGCAGCGCTGCATGGGGCGGGAGTCGATGGTGATGGTGATGTTGCGGCAGGGCCACAGAGTCCGTGGGCCCAAAGCCATGGTTTGACATGGGATGCTGCTGAGATGATGCGCCATGGACACCGAAGAGCATTTCGGGAGAGTGCGAGGGTTCGTGAGGGGCGTCAGCTGAGAGGACTGATAGCTGCGGCCGCAGGCCATGGTCGGGGTTCCCATCCTCTTCGGTCTCCGAGTGATGGCGTTTTTTCTCGCGCTGGATAGGGGGGATTTCGAAGCTGGCAGGTGGATACTGCACTGGAAGGTGTCGTGGGAGCATCTGGGGCGGGCCGAGGACAACGCTCTGCGACATATCATGAACTGACGGTTGCTGAGTGGCTGCTGATAACACGGTCGCGTTCGCATGATGTTGCTCAAATGCCGTCGTGCTATGAGAGGCTCCCTGAGAGAATGGAGGCTCGGGCTGCTTATGGTGCTGGAGATGCGGCTGCTGTGCGTGGTAAACAAGCGTGCCTGCGTGTTCCTCAGGTTTGCAGGTAGCATGTTGAGAATAATCAATAGCATACTCTCGATACGGATCCGCCAGCGTCGCGGACATACATCTGCGCCGCTAGAGCCTAACAGCCCTGGCAGGCTACTGACCGGCTCTAGAAAAAGAAAAGGGAGAGAAAGGAAGGAGGTCGAGGGTGCTATCTCGACGGAAAAGGGCTGTCAAGAGATAGGTTGGCTGACTGTCGGAGTTCGTCCGACGAAGCGAAGGGTGACAGATCGTGAAATCCTCTGGGTTGGAAGCAAGGGTCAAAGCTTTGGCCATGTACAGACCGATATTCTGAAGCTTGGAGAATTTGGATATCGCCGGTTGACTCCAGAGCGTGAGGCGCGATACTATGTGGTCGTCAGAATTACAGGTCA